CCATGTCATAAAGGCTTAGTCATGTCTCTTGACCAAGCAATGAGCTGGTGCCCTGACAAAAGGCATCTTCATTGGGTGTGGGTTGGGGTGTGGTGGTCTCTGACTGAGCCATACCATGGCATTTGCTGCAAGGTTCTTCAGAAAACTCAGCCGCATGCTTGTTCCCAATCTGCCAAGCTGGTCTTCTTGCCAGTCCATGGTATGGTTGCACTGAGCAGGATTGAAAACACCAACACATGGCATACAGAAAGCTCAGAGTGCTCTGCACGTGTTGCATGAGGGCCACAATGAAATCATGCCTTTGCATGTGAGGGACAAAGTGGAGGCCAAGGAGATTGGCAATTGATCAACAATTAGCACTGGTGAAGTACATGTAGGCAGCAAATACAGCACTCAGAGAGGCCCAGAGATGCCATCGAAAAACGGGGGAAGAGTGTCAGGATCTTCAACAAAGTGCACCAAATAGAACTCAAATCAGACATTGAGCTCAGATACAGGGATGGAAGTAATGCCATTTGAGGTCACATTTGCAGCAGGATTTAGCCAGCTAACCATTTGAGTGACTGACAGTGAAGGGGATAAGGATAACTGGAGGAATTTTCAGCATGTCATGTGTTTTGCAACAAAAAAATGAAAGTTTGTATGCCATAAACTGCACAGTAGCTCCACAAACAGGACATGAGGATTGGTTTTGATAGACAACAAGGATCCACAAAGTGCACATTGATGAAGAAGGCAGGCCCCATTGAGTAATAAAGCAAAGTGGATGACAATGAGATTGTGAAAAGAAAACTGTCCAAGACATAGCAAGAGGCACGTAATGTGAAGCTTGCCCCATATGGGGGGCCAAGGAACAGAAGAGGTGGCCTAATGACCATCTTTTCATTAAAGAAGCAGCCGTGGGAAGCGGTAAATCCGACAGAAGCATCGGAGAGAGAAGCGGGAAGAGCGGAAGGAAAAGAAGACGAGAACAGCGACGGGCGTTATGGAAGGAAGGAAGCAAATCAAGCGAAGGCAGTGCCTGCCAAATAAGGAAGGTAGCACGGCCCAAGAAGCAAGCTTGACATGACGGTAAAACTGGGCAACATGGTTGCCCAGGATCAGTCCTCCACTCTCAGGCCGTCCGTTCATAATCATATTCTGATTGCCTGGCTGTGCCTTTCCCGCCGTACCATACCATCCAGAATCTCAACTAGTCTCCTCCTGCAGCTTTGGCTTCGTGCCCTGCTCCTAAGCGTTGTTCAGTTGGCTTTGCTAGTATAGCACAATGAGTATGAAGACAAACAGTGGAACAGTGCCATGAACGCTTACTCAAAAACACAGGTTCCCTTCAAGCACACCTTATCGGGAGCATTCTCAGAGTCGGTTTGGTATTGACCAACCCAATGCTCTTCGTCGTGTAGAGTGTTCTGACTGTCATCGGGGAGAAAGAAGTTTATATAGAGATGATCGGTGCCATAGATCTTGGCTGCTTCCCGGATGGTATCTTCTCGGTGAAGCAAACTGCGTAGTCAAACCAGCCGCCTGAGATTTGGAAGTCCGTGAATGGCGGGTTCATGCCCGTTCCTTTTCCATAGTGCTTTTGTACATCGTTAACCTCCATGTAAAGGCTCGTTTTTCCCCCTGCATCCAACGACAGCTGAAGCTTTGTTACCCAAGTATAGTTGGAAAACCTGTCGTATAATTAGAACGCAAGGACGTTATCAATCATAAGGGCACACCTGATTGAAGACGTCTATAACGCCAGTGTCAGTCAAATCATAGCCGGTGGGTACAGGGGAAGGGGCTCACTTGATGCTGGGTCATGTGAGTGGCAGTTCCGGGAGGATAGGACATTGCGATGTCGAGGCCTTCAACGCTGCTTAGTGGTGAGAAAAGTCGGTGCTTTAATCCAATGTCCCTTGCGATTAGCCAAAGAGCAAATGATGTGATATATAGTACTTGTGCGCCAGTAGGTGACTTAATATAGCCCCCTGATGGGATGATTGCAGCTTTCGGAGTGGGCCGGGCATCCTTTGGCGATAAATCGAATGATATCCAACGTTGCCTATCATAGCCAGGACCCGTTGATCAAAGTTCACGTTCCCGAGTCACTTGCTTCATATGAACAATGATGCGCCATACCGAGTCGGGTAAGAACAGCAGAAGACCTGCCAACCGGTGAAACCAACCGCCGAGGGCGATGGGCAGCGGCCGCTCATGACATTGACATCCCATCAGAGTCAACTGGCATCGCCGTACTCTGGTTGGTAGTGGACGGTTCCAACGCATGAGACGAGAACAGAGTGTCTCCACCGCCAGAAACAAAGAATTCCGAAGTCGACTCGACTATGGCTTACTCGGCAGGACATATTGGACGTTCAATTTCGAAGGACATCTGACTACCATGTTCAGCATTCTGCCAACTTCTTCCGAGTGCATTGTTTATGAGACAGACGCATCGTATCATGATCCGCTTTCGAAAGTATCAACTCCGATCAGCCAACTTGCACCCATCCATTAGTTGTCCTTCACACTCGGGACCAGCTTCCCCTTCTGGCGCTGTTCCTCGGGAACACCGAACCAGCCACTATATGACATGAGAGATTGCATGAGTCACTCATGAGAACAGTGTGACCAACACTTACCCAAAGGCACAAGTCCCCTCCATTTCAAACTCTTGCGCTATCGAATTGGTATTGTCGCATTTGTACTGCCCAACAAAAACTTTCATCCCGATCCCGTTGTCGGTCTTCCCTCCGAAGAAGTTAACAATGAGGGTGTCCATCCCATAGACTTTCGTTGCTTTGTAGCTGATGTCGTCTCGGTTGACCAACATATCCCACGAGGTGCAAGAGAAAGTGCCGCCCGGGACAACAAACTCCACAGTTGTCGTGTTCTCGCCCGTCCCTTCGGAGTAGTGTTCTTCGTTGTCTTTCAGCTCCATATACATGTGGATGCGACCGCTGCCTTGGTGCCAGAACTGAATGCGACCTGTCCTGACCGTATTGGGAAACCTACGCAACAATCAGAATACAATAGCCTCCAGGAGGGCGAAGACATGCTTGAAAGAGGACTCCAGGACCATGTCAGCGAATGCATGGAGAACGGGGCAAGGACTCACGTGATCAGTCAGAGTACGTGAACAATTCCTTGTGGATAAGGGAAATGTAGAAATGAAAGTGAGGGTCGAGAGCTTGAATCTCCTCAGACGTGGGGTCAACGGTGGTTTTTAAATGAAATCTCGTATTGTGTTGCAGGGTAGTAGGGTGTGAGATGTCTGTACTGACGCGATTCCGATTTGGTATATTTCACCTTGCGATTGTGGTTCTAGCTTCATACGACACCCGGACATCAATTAGATCCGGTTCAGATGGCATCCAAACTTGTCTACATATCAAAGTCAGTGTCCATTAAATAACTCTTCACGTTCAGAGTCACTTACTTTATTGCTGGAAAAACAATGATGCACCATACCGAGTTGGGTAAGAACAGCAGAAGACAGGACCGGTGAAACCAACCGCCGAGGGCGATGGGCAGCGGCCGCTCATGACATTGACATGTCATCGGAAACAAACAACGTGCTTTGCTCGAGATGCGAGAAGGGAGGCTCCAGCAATGATATACCTGAGGACAAAGAAGCTTCGTGGAAAGAAACGAGGAATCCAACAAGTTGCCTGATATATCCATAGTAAGTTGGCTTTTCTGATGAGTCTGTTGTTCCATATGAGTGACGGGACAAGTAAATGTGCGTAAACCCCGCTGCATCTGAAGTAGATGGTCACGGTCACATTTGCACGGATGAGGGGTTGCAGGCTCCATTAGGTCTGGAGGTAAGCTGATGTCCACGGTGCAGAAGTGGGTACGGAGGGTTTGATTCCATGATACCTGCCGAAAGTAGACAAGAAAGATGACTTGCACTTGTATCGACTGAACGATGATGTACTCCAGAAGGGGTGCCCGAAAGACCGTTGCGAATACCAACCGACGGGAGTGCGAGTGCAGCGCAGGCTGAAAATATCGACATTTTCAATGCGTCGGAGGTATGACAGGGAAGGAATGCAAAGAATCTCCGCCGACAGGAATCCAAGAAGTAGTAGCCCATAAGCAGCGGGGATATCTTCTCGCAGAATGGACGCCGCGAGAAGCATGGCGTTCCACAAGCAAGTCAAAGCCTGGACCAAGCCTCAAATTCACATAACCGACATAGCAGGGTACCGTCACGATTATGCATCTGAGACGTTGCCAACACCCAGAAATTGGGACTGTACAGATCGGCCCGTTGCAGTTGCTAGTACGAGTTCTGAAGGTTGTATTTGAAATTGTCGATATGTAGGCTGTACGTCAACAGATTGAGTTACCAAATAATCAGACAAACCTGGAAGAAATCTGATGCTCCAAACGACGCATTTCGTGCAGAGAGCAGTGGGGCAGTGATGGCCCCACATATCGTTCATTTCGGTACCGCCCTGTTAGATCCGATTGAATCGGGATTATCGGCCGCGTCATTGCCACAGCCCGTTTGCTTTCTTATCTTATTTGCGCAAGGTGCTCCGCACACGCCTGTCATACAATGGGCTTCCACCGACTCTCGGCCTGGTTGCCCTTTGCATGTTGTGCGAGCAGCGCATCTATGAGTTCATCATCCTCTGCAGTGGCAGACCGCGCGTTTTGCCGGTGTCTGGGACATGATGGGCAGAATGAGCGCAGCGTCATCTGAAAAAGATACTCCTCTGAGGAGTATCTGAGCGCATCCAGGTGAAGATGCGTTGAGCGCATAGGTATTTGATTGCCGAACGCGCGATAATTAATTTGCTCAGATTTCATGAGATGCGCCCTTCAAAAAAATGCGCATCTGGCTGGCCGAACAGGCTCTTATGCACTTTCTACAGCTCGCAGCGTATGCTGATGCACAGATTCATATCCGATACTATCGTGCTTTGCGCTATTCTTGGCCCAAATGCCTCTGGAGCTTTCTCTCCAAACATCCAGTCTCGATCTTCCTTGATGAATTACATGCGATGTTCTCCGCTTAGGATGGACATTCTTCTCTCTCTGCAGCGATCTCATGGGCGCAAATGTCATGTGTACGGTATGCTATGTTGCGGATCCGTCTTTCAACTTCGGTATAGGTGACTTTCGTATGGGATGTCTGATCTTGTGCCGGCGTCACTCCGCGATGTACGGAGTTGAGGTCTGTTGCGACTGGTATAAAACCTCTTGCACTCGGTCAGCTCTGTGAAGCCAAGACACCGTCATTCGAAATGCTTGCTCTGACCGCCATACTTGCCGCTCTCATCATCGTGGTCTCCGCCGCTCCTCACGGTCCTACACGGACGGTGGAGAAACGCGAACCGCATCCGGCTGTCATCACGCTTCCTACTCCTGGGACCGAGATTTGGGCACCGTGGGACTCAGATATATCTTCGACGCCCGGTTACTTCCAGTTTCCATTGATTATGGTCGACGGTGTAAGTGGTCGGACTCCATTCAGTCTCTTTGTCCGGTTGTTCACTATCGTTCAGGAAACTATGTCGACTTACGCTAGAGTGGCCTTGACAAACAGTTCCGGTACTTACCCCATTGGGGAGGAGATCCACGTGTACGATAGCTGGACGTTTGAGGCTATCGTTGCTTCGAGTTTATCTGTCGTGGCTCCCGGAGCCTATGGTAAGTGGGCATTTTCAACCGATCGCTCCAGAAATTCATGAGCAATGCAGTACTTGATGTGCAAGAGCAAGATTCTTCCGACGACGGATGGTACACGGCGGTGTCGACCAATGTCACGGTCTACTCTGAGATGTGTGGGACGGATCCGACTTGTTGCTGGTCGTGCTGTCCCATCTGCCCATGAGGCACTTCATCCCCATCTTGCTAGCTTCTCCATATTTATTCTAGTGCTCTCCCGGATAATTCGCGAATGAGAGTACTATTATGTTTTGTTCTGTAACGAAACATGTTCAAGTTCCATCTAAAATCAATTGATTTCCGATGGGACCAGGCTTCCAGGCTTCGGGAGAGCAAACGGTCCGTGTCCAACATTGTGTGGCGCATTCTCGACTCAAATATGCGGGAATCGCGGCGATTCATTTCGGGCCGAAACAGGATTAGCCAGGAACTCCATACAGACCTAATGTAGTAGGTATTTATGGTATTACGGAGTTGGATGCACATGTGATCATCAACTCTGACATGCCTTCTGTCCTGCTGTCTACTGCCCATAGATCCCCTGTGCAGGGTGCAAGCTGCAACTGGCCGAGGGTAATTGTTGAAGTTGGTGACACACCATCAGGTGCTCTTTTTGTCTCTGCTTCCACAACAGAGGATGTGACAAAACTCTCCCCTCGACCTCTTCAGCATCTGATAGTGCAGCATAGCTTTGCTTCCTCACTCCATCTACTGTACCTCCTGCATGGTTGTAGAAGAAGCCAGCTTGTCCGCAGATATCACAATTGGTTCCCCCTCATCCTGATGGCTTCACTCATGACCGGTTCCATGATGCCCTCAGTTTGATTCACTCCACATGCTCCATCTGGGAGCAGCAGAATAACAAGATAAAGGATAAGTGGTGTCATCAGCTGATCTGCAGAGATTGTTGGGTGAGTTTTAGTTGAGGTGAATGAGAGATGGCTGGAGTGAGGGAGAGATAGTGCATCCTTGTTGGACTGCAGGCAAACAACCTAGGTGCACCTTGTACATGCTGGTTCCCACTTTCATCACTGATCTGGCTGCATAGTGTCCAATGGGTGAGTCAGAGAATCTTTTGCTCATGTGACATGGCGGTCTTGATCTTCTTTCAATCCACTTCCGTAATTGCCCTGGCTGCCCAGTGTCCAATACCAGTGTTCATATGGCTGCCCTCAAGCATACTGAATTGCTGGCTGCAGCCCTCCTCTGCTCTTGTAATGATGGTACTCTGCTTGTTACTACTCTATGACATAACATAACACTTTGTTCATCATGTTCTGTGCATGCATCTACTCAGATTGACATGGACATTCAGATCAGGGAACATCCTGTCCATGCTGCTGTTGCAAAGTCTCCACCTCTGAGCTGGAGGCAGCCAGAGGAGACAATCCACTCCATTGTCCCCTATCCAACCTGTCTTGAGGTTGAACATGAAGCCAGTGTGCCATGCATTGGCATTGCAACAGCCCTGCACCAGTTGATGCTGCTTCTCAACAAAATGGGTGAAGAAGGGCAGGGGCATGTGACCTGGAGGCAGTTCATTGATCTTGTCATTAATGTAGGGTTGCAATGGACTTTGTTTTGCATATTTCAGAGGGAGATGTGCAAGCTGCTGTGGTAAGACTGTTGAGCTCAGACTTGCTCATCTGAGCTGGGCCTTGGTGGAAGAAGACAACAAGTCATGTCAGATGTGTCATAGTTGGCCCACATGCAGATGTTATCCAGCAATCTTGTGCAGTTGCTCAAGAGATACTGCTTGGGGATATTTCCCCAATTGCCACAAAACCACCTCAACAGGGTTGTTCAGTTGAGTCCACTGATGCAAGGAGATTGGATTTGCATACAGATATTGCCAGCAATGCCAACAATCTCTGGGCCTATGTATGTGCTAGGAAATCTTGCTTGACCCCATCAAGAGTATCCTGATACTGCTAGATCACATTCTGGTACTCAACTGGGCTGCTTCATGTGCCTTTTCACTTTCTAGTAAGAAACCAACATCACTCAGAGCAGCAGGGCATGCTGTATGTCTTATCCTCATGATTTGCCAAGTTGAAGTATACACATTCCCCCACATAGCCAGAAAGATGACACATGATATCCTACCTCACATTATCTTGACCAGGATGCTTAACAATCGCCTTGATCTTCTTTGCATGGTAAAGGACATGTGGCAGCTCCTTAACTGCACCAATGAGTGCTCAAACATTTCAACCCAGCTTGGCACTTGCACCATACCAGATTGTCCAGAGACTCTCTAAGATGGTGCAAACCTTGTATACAGCTAATGCAGCATTCCAAGCCAGGGTCACATTCAGATGAATGGGGCTTTGTCATGTATGAGGGCACAAAGTTTGCACATTGTTCAACATCATAGCATGGAGGGCCACCCCCTGTTGCATTGGTGCAATAGCAGAGTGGACAGTGCAGGGACCTGCGAGTTGGTATGATGCCCTGCCAGTTCAGTGCTGCTATCCATGTGTTGTTGATTGGTTGACCATGCCTGTTGTCTGATGGGGCTGCTTCTCGATAGAGACATGCCAACATAGCACCTTCTGATTGTGCATTTATCCTCAGAGCCAACAGAATTGACTGTATGAGGGTCAATTCATGTATGAGGGGTGCATGGTGATTGGGGTGCACCTTGGTCAACTTGCTGCTCCAGGGCTCCCAGGCTCTCCAACTAGCTCAACTTCTGGATGCACAATACTACAAACCATATACACACAGAGAGAGACAACAAGTGGGTGCAGTAGTCCCACCACTAGCCATTTGAAGTGATCTGTCATTCTCAGGCTATAAAGGGTAATATGGGGCATGCACAAACAGATCATATTCAGATGGGTCATCCAAAGTCAGAGGTAACTAGTTATATGCCAGCATTTGAGCCCATGCTCTGATAGAAGATGCCATAGTTAAAGCTGATATCAGATTCATCCTCATTGAGAAGGACATAGTGAAGCTGAAACAGGTAAGTTGACAAAACAAGCTTGTAGTGGGGTATACCAACTTGTACAGACACATATGCAAGGGTAGTGGGCAGGAAGTGCTTGAAATCATCACTGGCTGACCCATACCAGTATGTATTCCCAGAGTGCAAGCAGTGAATGCCATCTTTGGTCATAGGCATTGTCAGCTTTTTGCAGAACAGGCAGAGCATAGAGAACATAGACTGAGAGTGCTGAGTGGAGTGAGATGTTGTTGTTGTGGAAGAGTATGGAGATGGGAGAGCAACCAGCAATGCCTGCAAGTCCCCATTAGATCCTGCTTAAGCCCAGGGACATGGAAGCAGAAAAAAGCTGATGTAGCTTGCCTCCGTCAGAGCAGGACCAAATCCATGCCCTCTGGCCTCTGTCACATGTTTGTAAACACAAACAGACAGTCCAACCAGGTGAGGTAGTCAACTGGAACTTGGCATGTCATTGTGGAAATATCTGGGCAGTAGATGGTACATGACAGGAGACTATCATAGCTAGGTGGATGCATCAGTAGGATGCTGTAGAAGACTGTAGGAAGACAAATGGAGAAGTAGACCACCGAGTTGTGCAGGCAGTGGCCAAGAAAAATGTTGGGATCATGTGTTCCATCTGCCCAAAGATGTTTCAGGGCCAAGGTCAGATCAGAATCTATGGAAGTGGCAAAAAACTGCAGACAAAGGGCATAAAGTGTGACAGCATCCAAAAGGTACAGGCAACTCACAGAAGAGAAGCCAAGAACATCCACCCCTTGCTTGAACACAGCCATCTGAGGCATGTCTTGAACCCCAGGACATCTGAGTAAGAGATGTTCTCTCAGAGTTACTGAGAGCTGCTTGTCTCTTCCAATACTGATCTGTAGTTGTTGTCTCTCAGCCAACTCAATCACAAGTGCTTCCTGTTGTTGACAAATTGCTTCAGCATCTTGTTCTCAAAAGGAGGAGATGTCTTACCTGGTTGATTGCTGTGAGAGCATTTTGAAGGTCCAAGTGATTGGCGGCATCTGGTGAAATGGGTGGCAAGGTATCATCACATGGATCAAAGTGTTGCCAGAGGGTGAGGATCTGAGCTGCCTTGGGATCCAATACCCAGAGGAAATCCATATCTTGACAAATATGTTCAACTGCTGAATGTTTGCCTTCAATGTAATCAGAAATAGCGTAAAGAAATATGAAGGGGCTGAGGTTCAATGGAGGGGAGGCCCAGGAGCCAAGACTGATCAAGACAAGATTGGCCCATGCAATCCATTGAGCTGGATCCAATTCATATGGCGACGTATGATGCTGGAAACCAAGAAATCCACCCGGAGTGGTGACAAAGAAGTGAGGCAAGCGATTGGGAAAGATAGAGACTGCCTTCAGAAGGGCGACACAAGCTGGCCCCACTCCACGAGAGATTGGTTTGGCGGATGTGGTGATAGAAGATGAAAAGGGGGAGCTGATGATGGGACAATCAATTGATGTTCAGATGCTAGTGTCAGGAAAATGAAAAGTTGCTCACATGATGACCTGAAATCGAGTGGGATGCAAACGAGCAAGCAAGACACATAAGTCTTGATAAGCTTGATGAGCTTCGGGGGTGGACAGGCTGCCAGTTTCAGAACGCTCAAGGTGTGTATGAATTCCTACAAGCTCACCCCACAAGTGTTCAGTGATGCCTTGAATGACGAGGAGTGTGTCGTTTGAATGGGGAGGGAAAGGAGCCATGGAATGCCAAAGAGGTTGAAAGTGAACCAGACGAAGTCGTACCAGATCGGAAGTAAGCAAAAGTGGCCGAAAAGTCCCTCTGCCACGTAGACCGACAGTGCGGCTTCACTGGATGGACATGTTCATTTCCGACCGGCAAAATGTCCTTGCTTACGTTGGGTTGTAACGGCTAGGGTTCGCCGTCAGATAAACATCATTACACATCTATCCCTACAATGATGGACATTCAAGGCATGGCAACCTCCGACTCCGCGAGGAACGCACCCAACCTCGAGTAGCAGAATGGGCGCAGCTGAGGAAAATTGCGAACATCTATTTAAAGACTGGGATGGCTTGAGGTGGTAGCGAACACTCATCCAACTTACCAACAATCGCACAAGTTCAACCAGCAGGAAGGCATCACAATGAAGATCATCATAGCAGGAAGCGGTGTGGAAGGCCCTGTTCTTGGTATGCTGCTCAAACAGGAAGGATTCGATCCTGTGATCTATGAACGAGCGGATCGCGTTGGAGGAGGTATTGCGGTGGTACCCGCTCCCCAGACGTACGTCAATTTGGGTCTTGCTGAGTTTGACGCTCACGATCATCATAGTTTCCGAGTCTTCCAGATCCTAGGCCTTGCAGAAGAGCTGCTCTCAATTGGGGCTCCTTGCGACACCATTCTCTCGTATTCCGTTCTTACTGCTCCACCCACCGAGCTTCTGCGTACCGATGCGCCCAAACAAGTCCGCTCATCCGAGGGCTGGCCCATCATGGGTATCGCACGCGATACCTTCGTCAAGTGGATCGTTGCAAAGGCACAAGAGCGGGGGGTAGAGATACATTTGCGGAAAGGTGTGAAGGATGTGCGTGAGGTAGGGGATAAAGTCGTGGTTGGGCTCAATGATGGGACGGAAGATGAGGCAGATCTTGTGATTGGCGCAGATGGGCTGCATTCGAGAGTCAGAGAGGTGCTCTTCGGGAAAGACCAAGCCGATTTCTGCAAGTTGATCGAGGTGCGTGTCAGGACATGAAACATTGTGTTAGCGACTGACCGATATCTCAGATAGGCGGACATGCGAAGACGCCGGATTCACTTCTCCAATACAAGTCGACCATCCTCCACTGGTACGGCTCCGGCATCCACCTCGTCTCATTCCCCATTAACCCCATCGGCACCGAGCGCATGTGGGTCTGCACACTTGCCGAAGAGACAGAAGCGCACGAGACCTGGCGTGCTCTCACGCGCGAAGAGCTACACGTTATCATGAAGTCTCTTCCCGTCTTCACCGATGAACATTGGGCTGGAGGGCCCAGGGATCTTATCACGAACCACTCGCACTTTGTCAAGTATGGGTTGTATGACCGCCCGCCTCTCGATAGCTGGCATATGAGCCGCATCGTGCTTGCAGGAGACGCTGCACACCCCACCAGCCCACATCTGGGGCAGGGGACCAACCAGGCCATGGAGGATGCGTACCATCTCGTGCGCGTGCTATGCGAGTATAAGGATGGCAAGAAGACGCTGGACGAGGCTCTGAAGGAATACGAGCAGATCAGGCTGCCCAGGGTGAGCGCGCTTGTTGCACAGGCCAGGAAGGAGGGCGAGCTGAGAGTGGTAGTGGGAGAAGAGGCATCCAAGAAAAGGGATGAGGAGTTGAAGAAGGGCTTTGATCGTGAGGCGTTGCGCTTGTACCTCGAGGCGACGAAGGGACCGTACACGGGTGAGACCGCCACCTGATAAGATCAGGGCATGTGTAGGAAACTTGGTTTGTGAACAACAGCTATGAATAAGAATACATGCGAAACCTCCTCCAGTCCAGACAGAAGCAAGTCCAGAACGAGTCTAATGAATCACAAACTCGACAGTTATTTATCACTCTTTCCCAGCAAGACGCTGAGCCTTTTGACAGCCCTCCCTCCAATTGTGTGGAACCGATTCGCCGCCTCCCCGTTTCCCGTTTCTACAAGACTGAGCCGGGCGGTGACTTCGAGTCTTTGGACTTCGGTACGCTTGAGCGCGCCTGCAAACGGGCTGACACCTAGTTCCAAAAGGGTGGGCGTCAGCTCCGGAAGCCCGTTATCTAGTTCAGGTCCGGGATGACCGAAGCCAGAAGCGGAATCCGACCCATGGTAGTCGCCATCAGACCGCAACACAGACGTGGTAGATGAGAGTGTCACAGTGCTCAGCCGATGATCTAGCGCTGCATGTGGCAAGCCGTCCGGGCACTCGTCGGACCGTTCCGCGATAAGAGGGAAGACATTTTCGTAGCAGGTGTTGCATGCCCGCGTAGGTTTGTTCTCCGACGGTCCTGGAGCACCAGGATGGACGATGAAGAACGTCTATCCTATACATTAGTTCAGACAGGTATAAGAACATAAGATGGCGTACTTTGGTAGAGCATCTCGAGCAAACGACCGACCCGCAGAGCCGACAATGATGTCTTCTCCTTAGCACCGTCCAGGGCTTTCCGCAGCGCATACACGCCGTGGCCTTCCGATCCGGCACCCACACAGCAGGCACGAAATGCTCCACTTTCTTACGTTCTGGCTCAGCGGGCAAGGCTTGCAGGGAAAGACGGAGATGGCGCGTTGACGTGGAGGAAGTGAGGGTGTCCAGTGGTCGGGAAAAGGTCTGTATCGAGGAGAGGTAGAGGGACTTCGTCTCCCTGATAGCATCGATCCAGGCTTGACACTCCGCTGCTGATGCTGCACAAGATGATCAGCACCCTAGTAGACCGGGTTACATAGCACTCACCCGCATAAACTGCAAAGCTCTCCTTGGGGCTAAGCAGCTCGAATTTCCTCACACCCTCCCCCGCACATCTAGCACCAACGACAGTAACATCCTTAATCTCCAGCTTGCCCACCCATCTCCAGCGCTCCGATTCTCTCATTTCTTCTTCTCCGCTCCGCCTGATCTGAGCATCATTTCCGCTCTTGCTTCTCCTTCTCTGCAAGCCCGGTCGCGAGCCGCTAAGCCACCCCTCCTCAGAAAGAGGTGCAAACAGCAGGATACAGTCCGTAAAGAGCAGGCATTCCCGGGGTTCGAGAGCCTTGGGGGATTCGCGGAGTAGAGGCCTACGTTTGATCAGTTTCCGACCGGGGGAGATCAGCGGGAAGGGGAGGTTGATGCATGCTCTTTGTAAGGCCAGGGCGGAGAGGGTGAGGGAGTGTTCTGCCAGCGCACGGTCGAGCGTTTCCGCCGCTGCGGCAAGCGTCAGCGAGTGAAAGGATGAGAGACGGAGGCTTACTCTTCGATACCATGACGAATACTCGGCGGAGTTGCTCTGTTTCTTCCTCGTGTGGGTCTGAGTAGGTGACAAGGTCCTTCAGCAGCAGGAGGTACCTCGGCACACGTTGCACGCAAGTCAAGAGCCAAGCGACAAGCCCCATCGCCCGGCACCTTGGGTCCTTCTCCCTCTCTGCCAGCCAAGAACGGAAGGGGGGCGAAGTGGACTGCAAGTGCGAGACAGTAGACATAGAAGAAGGGAAGTTGGCCACGAAGAGCTTGTACATCGACAGGTAAGGCAGATGGGCGCGCATCACCGAGGACAGTGGGGGGGACACGGCTTGGGAAGGCGGGGGAGAGACGGCCTCTGTGAGGCCGAGGAGGAGCGCACGGTGCAAGTTCCAGATGTCGACAAAGTTGGAGAAAATCGCTGTCAGATCGTCCCTCGTCACGAGCGGTCGTTTGGTCTCGAGGGACTCCATGAGTGGGATGAGGAAGTGCTGTCAATGCATTAGTACATGATTTATGTATGCAGAGCTCGGTGAGAAGGACGTGCATCATATATGAGGTCCAAGCCATCAACGTACGACCTCTCCGTGTCCAAGAGTTCCTTGACGACCTTCAACCTCTTGAGTGCCCTCCTCTGATACCCCTCATCCATAGACCCGCGCTGCCTGCTATCCCTCCTGCTCTTCCCATATTTCCTGGGAGATCTCGGCAGTGCAGGGCTGAGCGGGCCAAATCCAGAGAAAGAGGACGAGCGCGCCTGTTCAGATAACGGGCGAAGTGCAGAACGCGGAGAGGGGCTCGTGCCTGCGCTGCCCGGGTCGAGAGGTGGGGACTGTAGAGCGACCTCTTCGAAGGAGACGACGCTGCTTACTGCGGACCTGTGTCCCGAGCCGGCGCTGGTCGTTGACAGTCGACGGAAAGAGATCGGTGCTTTGAGCGCAGGTGGACGGAGTGTTGCGAGCCTGTCTTCTGTGCGTTCTGCGCCCTCTGCGCCGTCTGTCCCTTGATCACCGTCTCCGTTGTTCGACGAAGGGTAGCTCGACGTGCGTAGATGAGAGCGGGGGAAGAGTATCCCCTGCGCTGAGCTGTCCGAGCTAGGCTCAGTGCGGGACATAGATAGCAGACAGTAACATGCGTTGTGAAGGGGAGAGAAAGACGACGAGGAAGGGTATATATCACTGCCTTCGCCGTCCACGCTGACTGACGATGTCCCCACTGTATGCGCTGCCTCCTGTGAATGACTCCTAATTGCGCATTCCTCATTACTCAGTGACTCCTTTTCATTTAATTCATAACGTCAAACCATTCTAACGACAGCGCCAACGCTGACAACGCCCCTGAACGAACACAGATATTGCATAAAGGAATACGTGTACAACTCGCATCTACGCGGACTAACGGCTCTCACTCATCTCCGCCAGCCAGTTCGCCATCTACCACATCAATCAGCGTAAGATCTTCTGGCTAAAGAGGAAGTAACATACCTTGAGCGCACCCTGCCTAAGACTCTCACCAGCATTCTGCACATCAGGGTTAGCGAGCACACGCCCAATCACGTCCCTCGCCGCGATCTCCGCATTCGCCAGCGTCTCATTCGTGTTACCCAACAACAACCCTCCGCTGAGCGGCCGAGGTCCGGCTTCTTCCTCCTCCTCTCGGCCAAAGTACTGGTTTGAGCTGATAGACGTCGCTCCCTGGAACTGGGCCAGACGGGTCTGTGCTTCTGCATGAGCCGTCGGGTCGTAGGCGTTTCGCCCAAAGTACATGTCGGACGAGATGGCCTTCTGCGTTCCGAACTTGTCACGCGCGTATGTCGATTCATCTAGACATCGTCAGATCTTGCATGGCAGCGTGGCCCATAACCCCTTACCGGCAGCAGGCGTGCTGGATCCGCTCCTAGTGCTAGAAGTAGCAGGAGCGGCAGAAGTCGCAGTCTGGCCAAACCCAAGACGCGCCATCCCCATCCCCAGTCTGTTGATTTCGATGCTGTCCTTCTTCCCGTGCAGGCTCGTAGGGCCGCTCGGCGTCGTAGCAGAAACGGGCGATTTCACAGTAGGAGACGCCGCGGCTGCAGCGAGCGAGCGTGCCTTTGCCTCCTCTTCTTCCTTCTTTGCGTCATACCCTAGCCTCTTGATCCGCTCTTCCTCTTCCTTCGCCTTCCGCTCCGCCTCCTCAAAATCGATCGGCGCGCCCTTCCTTGCTCCGAGCTTGGATGCCTTGTGCTGCGGTGCACCGCCAGTCGCGTTCAACCGTGATGCGCCGAGCTTCGATGACCGTGCACCAGTGCCGCTGCTGGCCGAAGAGGTGCGTAATGATGATGATGTGACGGTGCGAGGAGCAGCGACACCTGGCGTGCTAGTCACAGAAGGTGTAGAGGCAGGGGATATCGCCGGTGAAGAGGCGGCGGACGATCCGGCAGTAGCAGCGTTGCTCACCGTGGAAAGACTGCGCCCGACTACCGGAGGAGCGGCCTTCGGAGCGGGAGAAAGGACTTTCGGGGCGGTGGGCTTATCCCACGAAGAGAAGAAATCTTCATCTGGCGCAGTGGCGGATTTGGGCGTATCAGTCATCCCATCGACATAGATCCGATCCGGGAATCTGCAAATAGATCAGAAAAGAAGAGTAGATATATGCGCAGTGCATACCGCATAATGTCCTCCTTGACTCTCCGTGCCAACTCGTCCTTGTACAGCCCTGCAACGCGGCTCGTATACTTGTCCTTAAGATGCGTAGCGGTCAACGCTGACGACCCCCCGTTCTTTGTAAAGAACTCGGTGGCAGAAGCGTTCCCCGCGACCTTCATGTTGCGCATCTGACCTAGCTGCCAGCCGTCCAGGTTTGTCGACCTGGTCTGTGTCAGCGCAGTACGGGGAGGAAGGGAGAGGACAAACCGGACGAAGCTGATATGCACACCCATGTTCCTGTGCACGCTAGAGCAGTCGAGGCAAATGTACACGCCAAAGGTTACGCTTGTCCAAGTGGGGTTACGTGCTTGACAGTCGAAGCACATCTACACACGCGTCAGTTCTTCACTGCGCATATAGCTGACAGAATAGACACACCTTGTTCCCCTTCTGCGATCTGAGCACTTTGAACACTTCATCGCGCTCCTGATGGGATACGATTGCCGTTTCTGCCATTGTAGATTTTGAAAGGTAAGGTAGAGAAAGTAAGGTATATGCGCGCAGAGGACGACGATGGACAGTGAGCTCGAAAGGGCGGTCGGTGGGCTTCGTACACGTTCCCTCATCAGCGGAAGCTTTTCACAAGCGGTTCTTATAAGCGCTCCCCTGGCGACACCGTCTTTCATCTTTTGACCACCATAATCGGCGTTGTTACGCTTTTATCGTACGAGCGGTGATCTTGATGTTCTCTGTCACTGGTAACTGGGGAATTTGTGGTCTGCTCAGCGTCACTATTCGAGGAAGACAGCATTACAATTCTGGCAGATCACAGCCCACAGAGCTCTCGCTAGAGCTGCTGGTTGATCTACCGATATACTGGCAACAACTTCGATGCTCCTATGCATGCTACTCTCGCGCTTCTTAGATCTCTAACAAGCACTCCTCAAGTGAACAACTCAGTCTCTTCTATCTCTGTTCACCGTAGAAAAAGTTATCATGAAAACCTGATAACGCCGACGCACAGCCACTTGATCCTAACGCCGACATTCATCCTCCAACCCCTGCAACACAGGACATCTCACATTCTTCCCTCTGTCCACCAGGCAAAACCCACCCGGGAACATGTCACATCCCTCTCCTAGCCCTCCCACCGCTCGATGGCGCCTGACCTAGCTCGCCCTTCGCTCGCTCGCGATACAACTCCAGCTTGTGGCACAACACCAGCACGTGCTCCCGTGCACGAACATATCATGTTTACCAACATTACATTCCTTGTTGACATTACCGGAATTTGCGGAACGGGACGTACCGCCAGAGACGTCCAATGATCCCCTTCCTACCTGAGGAGGAGAGCTATATAGACCGCTGGACGAGGTATGAACCTCCTATTCCTCCATCCATCCTTCGTCTCTCCTCACCCCCCCCTCCTCAAATCCTACTGCTATCCTACCCGCCTCAGGCGTAATCTTCCAACTACAGACTCTCGTTCAACAAACTACATTACGTTCTTTACGACCTAATTCCTTGCATTCCTGCAATGTACAACCTCGCTCAGCTCTCCCTACTCGCTCTCCTCGTCGCCCTCCCCGCTCAAACAGCTAGCATACCGCGGATAGACACCTGCGCAAACATCGACCAAGGCATACTCACCGACGGCCAAGTACAATGTCCGTCCCTCTCTATCCCTCCCCTCCCCTCTCAGGCTAATGCTAACCATCCGTTGCGTAGACGGCACGCTCACCGGCTGCATATGTCATTCCCTCCTCCCGCATTTCACCCTCCTCTCCCCAGTCGCCAAGCGCGCAACGCGTTCCCTAGGATCCCAAGGAACGGAAGCGCTGCTAAAAGGACTTATTGACGCCTCAGGGGAGAAGTGTGAGTATCCAGCGCGGGCGGTGAGCGCGTGCAGGAGGGAGGACGTGTGTGCTTGGGTGTGCGAAGCGGGGTGGGAAAGGTGTGGGGGGGATTGTGTCCCGAACGGGGAATGCAGCACCCAGGAGCCAGTCGAAGTCCGGTCCTCTGACGCGCCACCCACCGAGCACTCCCTACGCAAACACTGCGAGCCGGAGTACATTGCCTGCCCCTCCCCTCCCGCGTCCTTGCCAGTAAAACGGTTTCCCTTCCCAAGAGGCAAGCCACCTGCCCAGCCCGACCCCTCTCTAACGTGCATCAACCCTCTCCTCGATACGCAACACTGCGGTGGATGCAGCTTCAGCCCTTTGTCGCCGACGTCGGGTGAGCAGTATACGGGTGAAGATTGTACGCGTGTAAGAGGGGCGAAGGGGGTCGAGTGCGTGCAGGGGACATGTGTGGTTAGGGAGTGTAGGCAGGGGTGGGAGCTGGTCGAGGGAGAGTGTAGGAGGAGGTATGTGCTGTCTAAGGGACAGGTGAGGCTGGGGAAGGTGGGGAAGGCTTGAGCTGGAGTGGAGGGGACGGACACTGGTGGAGTAAAAATCGTAAAAGCGTTTGCACTGTTTTGTAGCATTATCTTATTGTATCCGTATTCTTTTGTGCTCTTTGTGAACAAGTCTCCGCGGGATCGCCGCCATTACAAAGGGAGTGATAGTGGCTGTGCAAAGTAATGCACGTGATTCACCCTTTGAAGTCCGTTTTAAGCGCCGGTCATTTTGGTCATTTCATTTCAATCAAAGTTGCATTCATGGCATGGCAACGGTATTTCATTCCTTTTCTTCTTACCACCACCACTGACAACACCAACAGGAGCAGCACAGGCGACCCACTAACACCACGATTAGGATCTCCTTTCCTCCCTTCTACCACCCTCCCACTCCCAACCTACCCGACATCCGCGCCCTCACCCTACCCAGGATTCACCTACCCCGCACCGCCATCAGCGACCTACTTCACCGACTCGCTCTCTTCCCGTCTCGAGCACTACACACCTAGCAGCGCGTTACACAACGCTGCGGTGGAGAAGACGCGCTATGTCCGCTTTCGCGTCGTCCCCTCCTCTGGGGGGTATACAGAAGTCGCCGCAGCAGGAGAAGGAGGACGCGTAGCCGTAGGAGGGAAAGACTCGCTCCGCATCATCAAGTTTCTCAACCGACCTCCGCTGAGCTCGCCCAGCTCGCCACCACCAGGAGCGGCGTTCTCGGAAAGAGGATATAGTAGGAGAGGGAGAAGCAAGGTTTTGGGCCCGGGGGGGAGCAGTGCGGAGGAGGTGATGAACGTTTGGGCGGGGAGTAAGCTGAGCTTGGTACATGCGTTGCAGGATGTTGCGTGGGGACATCAGAGTGCGTGCGTTTCTACTGTACTTTCTACCTCTTCCGCTTCCCTCTGCTCTTCCTCCCATCCACCGTCCTTCCCTCTCCTCCTCTCTGCTCCCATCCCTTGCATACAAGATGACTGACCCCCACCCCGGCAGACTACTCCGAAAAACTCCTAACCGCTCACTTGCAAGGCGACTGCCTCCTCTGGGACCTCCAACGTCCAGGGTCAAAAGTCGAGTCCATACTCCACGAGCACGTCCGTGGACGGGGTGTCAACCGCGTGCTGTTCGCACCGGGGAATGGGGGCTTCGTCCTTAGTGCTAGTGTGGATATGACGTGCAAGCTCTGGGTGAGTGATTCATTGAGCATGTGCGTGTGCAGGAGCAGGGGGTTTGGTACTGATACGTGTTGTAGGACCTGAGGAAACCACAGACTAGCGTCTCCACTTTCAAATGTAACGCCGCTGTTTCCGCTATCTGCTTCTCCCCCGTACTGGGGAGCAGCGATTTTGTAGCTGGACTCGGGAACGGCGCTTTGCAGAGGTTTGATTACCGGATGGTATGTCCCCCTCCATCCTCTCCCCTTCCGTCCTTTTCGCCCTCTTCCCTCCCTTCAAGGCTGACCCACCTCGTGCATAGGGCGACAAAGGCATGGTAGACTGGATCTCCTCCGCCCACGCATCCTCAATCCAAGACCTTAAATGGAGGGAGTCTTCCCCCCTCTCCCCTCTCTCCCAATCCCAACCCCAATTCCAGGGGGAAGACACCGGTTCCTATCTCGCCTCGTGCGGGATGGACAAGCTGGTAAAGATATGGGATATGGACCCTTCTTCCGGTGGGGGGCTGAGCGGCACTCAGGGGGGGAGGGAGTACGGGTCTTTTGCAGGCGTCGGTGTTGGTGTCGGCGGCAGCTTGGGCACCAATGCAGCCAGCAGCGTGGGAACGGCGAGCTTTCCCCTCGGAGCAGGAGGCCCAGGGGGAGGGAGTACCTTCTCGACCCTATCGACCGCTTCCTCCGCCTCAGCCGCCTCAGTAGCCTCCGCAAGCTCCCAAGGCCAACCGCACAACAGGCCTAAACAGGTCCTGCGCACGCCCTGCGTAAACCATAGGATCGCCTGGCGCCCCGGGTACGAGACGGAGCTCGTAGTGGTGCCGTATCGGAAGTATGGGGTCTCTCCCTGTCTGGCGGGTGTGGAAGGAGAGGGGTACGGGGATGGGGATGGGGATGCGGGGGATGGGGATGGGGGAGGAGAGGGGCCGGAGGAAACCAGGATCTCCGTCTGGGACGTGAGGAGGAACTATTTGCCCAAGTATGTGTTGCTGGGCGGAACGGGCGCTGCCAGAGGTACGTTTCCCGCTCCGGCGTTAGGGGATGATGACTCTGACCTGAACTTGTGCTCCGCTCGTGTCGTCTACTCTGTGCTCCGCCTTTTCTTCCTCCTCCACCACCATCACACCCGCCCATAGACGTCCTCTTCCTCGACTCGGAACCCGATGCCGTCATAGCGACCTACTCGAATTCCTATGTCGTGCAACATGATCTGCGACATCATACGCGGCCTATTGACGGGCTTTCGAGGTCTGGCCTGAGCTGGGACGGGACTGGAAGACTGGCATTTGCGGTCGAGGAGAGGGGGGAGGGGGAGGTGCCTTTTGATGAGCCGTGAGCGATTTAGCATTCCCGGTTGAGAGCGTGCTGTGCTCACCCCGTTCGCGGTAGACCGTATGATCCCCACACGCGCATGCGTATGCCTGGAGGGAAAGAACACTCGATCCGAGCCGGTCGGTTCCTCCCCACTTCCCAGCTCTCAGGTGGCCTCCTTCTCCCGAACACAGACACCGACTCCCTCTGCCGTATCGCGCGGGGCTACCTGCTTACCGGAGAGGAGAAACACGTTTTATGTCAGAAGAACGCCGCCGTCGCCCAGGAGGGAGGGAACGAACAGGCCGCACAGGGGTGGATGGTGCTCCATTCCCTATTGGTGCCTTTACCGCTTCCTTCTCGCAGTTCTAGCCCGGCTCCGCACTCAACACCAGGGCAGAAGAGCAGCAAGTTTTCCTATTCTCCCTTGTCGGGAAGCTCGAGGCGCGCTACTTCCAAAGGGCCAAAACGAGCCCGCCGGCCCCTCCGCCCTAGAGGGAGACGCTCTACTCCCTCTGGCCCGGGGACGGGGGACGAACCCCTTCCTCTGACAGGGGAGTCGCACCTCACCCAAGGAGCGCTGGACTCTGACAGCGACAGCGACGGAGACGAAGGCGACGAGAGCGGGCCAGATGTGTCTGACGCACCTGTCTCTCCTGTCGAGAGGGAGGACAGGAGCGGGAGTGCAAGTGGAAGTGGGAGGCATACGAGGAATCAGAATTCTGAGAGCTCGGTGTCTAGTTCTGGCGCGCCAGTGGTGGGGAATAACATGCGCTCGCCCCTTTCTCGCACGCCGGTTACGGCCGATATGGTGGGGATATTGGCGCTTCGCCGGCTGAGCAAGATGGAGGAGGAAGAGTATGAAGAGGTGGACAGTGGGTTGGCGCCGTGGAGGGCGGTCTCTGCTGAAGCACACATGAACCGTGATACTGGGAACGAGATGGAACACGAGCACGAGCATGAGCATGACTTGGAGTCTTCTAGCTCTGCAGCGGAAGGAGGGCTCATGCTCAAACGGGGCAAGCCTGCTCTCAAGCACGTGACGACCCAGTTTGGCCAGTTCCACTCGTCTCACGGGACGAGGCGGAACAGCATGGAAAGCGAGAGGGAAGCAGGTTTCGTCCGAGGGCATAAGCGAACCATCTCTGGTGGGAGTGGGGCGCCAGCGACGGGCCGGACGTCTCGCAGCAGCAAGAAGCTCACTGCCTCTCCTGCGGCTGTGGACCTGGCTCTTGACGGGTCCAGGCATCGTCAGGGTTGGACAAGGGAGAAGGAGATCATCGATGCTGAGCAACGGATACGCGACAGGGGGTGGGAGGTGATGCGCACGATGTTCGAGGGGATGATGCTTGAGGGAGATGTCCAGACGTGCGCTGTTATGGCTATCGTTGCTGGTGAAGAGCTCGTGAAAGATCAGACTAGGATTGTTCGTCTTGTTGTGGCTTACTTGGGTGAGCGATGTGCGCCCGCTCTGGAGAGAGTTTGCTGATCTGGAGATTAGAGGTGTTGTCTCGATTGCTGCTGTTTACGGCTGCTGCAGAGGTAAGGAAATATTTCAAAGCGCCGGAAGTGCAGGAAGATACCAACGTGAGATTCACACATTCATAACGCACGGCAGTTGCTCATCTGCTTCCAGTCCAACACGAGGTTTGACTCGAGCTGTGCACGGTGCAGAAAAGCCCTGCGCGGAGAAGCACTCCCACGCGGAACACAAGGCAACCCTGGCAACTACCTCTATTGCAAGAACTGCCATCGGATGGCATCTCGATGTGCTATCTGTCATCTGCCGTCCAAGGGCTTGTTCTTCCTTTGTCCGACATGTGGGCATGGCGGACATGAAGAGTGTTATCGGGATTACTACCTCTTCCATCCTATGGACAACGTCCATATCGTTCTCCAATCTTCCCAGAGCCTACAGCAACAGTCGTGGAACAGCCGACAGTCTATATCTCTGTCGATGTCAGATTCCAATCTACTGGACGAAGACGATCGAACCGGACGGACGACAAACCCCAAGCGACTGCGGCGTGCCCCTCCAGGTCGTGTACATCCTGTAGAAGCGGCGGACGACACCGATGATGAGGCGCAGAAGGCAAGATATTGGGATCGGAAACGAAAAATGACCAGAAAAGTACTCCTCGGACATCCTTGTGTTGCCGGGTGCGGGCATGTGTGTTGGGTTTCGAATGAGCGAATAGAGGGTGACTTGAAGTAGTGCACGGTTCAAATTTCTTCTGTTGTATTCTGTTGTATTCTATCTTACTGACAGTTCCGTATCTGCAGACATCAGCAGAAACGCGAATTGCTGGGGACCCTCTGGTGACCATGGGGAATGAAATCCGATGACCAACAGAGCGTCTAACAATGTCAGGTGTGATCGATGATCCGATCAAATCCATCAGATCAACTTGCTTCTGTGTACAGAAGAATGGGTATGCGGAAACAGAGTGTGCCCTCGAATGAATCGCAACGGTAACTTCTTCCGCGGCCCTCCCTTACAACAGGCCCTTATTGGCAGACCTTTGATGATCCTTGATCATGATAACTGTTCGAGACCACTTCTGGGCGGCGGTATTCGGCAATGTATGTCTAAAGGGCCACTGGCGGATTTGTGATGATTGGAAATGGGGTGATACTATTCATCTCATAAACGGGCAACAACTCGTGGACCCTCTATGGTTTATGCCCTCCCAACGCCCTCTTCATGGACATGTCGTTGCATTGCAAAATCATCGATTCGGCTTGCATCTTGGTCGTACTTCCTAGTGCCCCATTCTCATGGGATTCATGTGCGCAATTGAAGGCAGGATTCCGTGATTTGTTGCCGGACGCTGTGTGCGTAGTACAAATTGTGGTGAAAGACTGCAACTGATAACATATCCAGAGAGGACTTTGTCCCATGCCACATTCCACTGTACGGGACATCCTACGGAAATGTATCCTACATTATAACCACGTCACCTCGGGAGACAAACCTACTCCTTGCTCTCCGTTCGCGAGAAGGCTTTGTTCGGGTCACTGGTCAACTTGTCTACCTGCTACCATTGCACCCATCAATCGTCGGACATATCCATCCTCACTGTATCCCAGGCTATGCCATCCGTTTCCCTTATGAAACGGACTCTCCCCAGTCGCTGGCAAGCGATCCGAATCTCTCCATGCCTTCGACCTTCGTTCTCGAGGACAGCATTTTTCAACCCGACGAATCTCCTCCGCGCGCGAAAGCAGGCAAGGAAAGCCGTTTCTTCTGTGCTTCCAGGCTGCATCCATATTTCCCTCGCTCAACCACGTCACCCCCATCCCGGTCTGCTGCCATCCCCTCTGTTCGCATCAATACGCCCTTGTTATCGACCGCGACCTGCCCAGATCCCACAATTGTAGGAATTCTGCATGACTCCACTCCCGATCTCGGATGGATGCATTTCAGAGTTGGCGAGGAGCAAGCCATAGCGACTGCACAATGGGTTGACCTTCAAGGGGCTCCGGTGTAAGCCATGTTGTTTCCGAACAACCTTTCGTAAGACACTTACGCCAACACGTTAAGCATGATGCGCTGCCCAGGCAGTGATACCGTCTGCTTCCAGATATGCTCGTATTCGCTCCGGGACTTTGTCTATGCCCAAGCGAACGGAAAACCTCTCACGCATCTCCGCTCGCAGTGGCCAGCAACGGAGGTGGATATCACGCTCTGCCGTTTCGGACAGCTCCAGTGGGAGCACCGAGCGACTCTCAGCCATGATGGAAGCTGCTTGAGCGGGAATGAGCTTGGTATCTCCTGCTTTCTCGTTGAGTCTGGGATGTGGAAGCTACAAATTGTGGCTGAACGGCCCGTGCCGGACTTCGTGTTCGCGTTCATGGCTACACCCATGGCGCTGGAGGTTGTCAACTTCGACTGATGGTGCATCGTGTCGTAGAAAGATCTATGAGGTGTTTCGTTCTGGAAGACGTTGATGAATTCGGGCTCGCTGGTATCTGAGTGCGGGATGGAAATAACAGAGATGGAGTGCAACAAAGGGCGTTCATTACTTCGATGCAAAAATGTCCCATAGGAATACATGTTAATACAAGCCATTACCGCAGGCACAGAGATCCAACCGAACACAAAGAGACAAGATACGATCCGAAAGAATGACGAGGATAGTAGACATGCGATAAAAGATGGAGATCTTGAATGACAGATGAAAGAATGATGAGACACGTACCAGTCCGATATCGTGCAGCATGCAGAGTTGCGAATAGCGGACAGAAGATTAGTTATGCAGTGGCGGAAGACAGCGACAGTGGATCAGAACTCGATCGGCCTCGGTGGTGGCGGCTTTCTTCTCTGGCTTCTTGAGCTTCTCGGGCTTTCCGGACTGAGCTCCACGTAATCTCTGTCCTCCGGATACCTATGTCGTTGATGCTGATGATGCGGGGGAGTGATCGGACTCGGCCTCTCACCATGTACAGCGCTGAACCGTCCTAATAACGGTCCAGAGCTCTTGGGCTCTTCAACGCCCTCCCCATACACCCGTGAGCTTTCCGAAATGACAGGCAGCTCGATGTGTTCTCCATTGCTTGTTTGTTCCCTTCCCTCTGCCCCATGCGCCTCCGGGTCGTCTCGAGCATGAGACTCCCCCAAAAGTCCCACTCCAGAGCCAGATCCAGAGCCCGACGAGCGCCTCACAGGCCCAACGAAAGGGATAGACAAACTCGCCAACCCGCGTTTCATCCCATTCCTAAACTTTTCCCGCTCTCGCTCTTCCTCCCCCAGGAGGTCTCGTACGCCTGCCTCTGCACCGAACGTCGGATAACTCGCACTTTCGCGCCGGACAGGCATGGGGATCTCCACTCTGCTAGTGCGGACCGGGCTGGGATAGCGCCCCCCAGCGGGGGAGAGGGCAAGCCAGTCCCAATCTGCTGATCCTGTGCCCGTTCCTACGGGGTGTGCTTCAGACTGCGTAGGCTCGGGCTCTTCGAATACTTCATGTGCTGATAGCGGAGGTGAGGGAGGGAGCGGGACATTGTGTGCCGAAGCGATATCGCTCCCATCCGTACCAGTGCCTTCTGTTCCCTCTCCCTCGCGCCTCGAACCCTTTTGCCCATCTGGACCCGTCTTCCCGCTGAGACCAGTCGCTTCACTCCCCCCAGTTCCCTCGGACATGCTCCTCAAACTGTGTTTCTTCAACGCCGTATACAAGAGCGTGTCGTCCCACGCCGAGTCGGGCACAGCCTTGCCATTTGCGAACGTGAAGCTCTCTTCCCCTGCTCCTCCTGCAGCTTCAGCGAGCTCTCGCTCGCGCTCCCGTCGTCTTCGGTAAAGACATCCTCGCAAGAGGAAAAGACAGACACAGAGAGCGATAAACCCTGCTACAGCGAGGATGATCACCACCGGTAAAGGTATTTTCAGGGAACTGCTAGCGTTGACGCTCGGGATATTCAGTTGTCCTCCTCCTTGTCCCGACCCGGGAGCTTGGTTCTGTATGCGTACTTGTTGGAATTCCAGGGCGGCGGCAGTGGCGTTCGTGAGTGGGTAAAGACCGACGTGGGGAAGGTCGGCTTGGTCCGCACTAGGAGCAGGGGTAGTGGCCGGGTAGAGGTTGGTAGTGGAGTTGGACGTGTAGATGGAGCTGTTGGAGGTGTAGACCGAGTAGACGTTCTTGAGGAAAGCGACGCCGAGAATTCTGGTAGCATATATCAGCTTTGTATGATCTCTCAGTGGGTGGGAGTTGACGCACATGTCCCCTGCTGTTTGGCCAGATGGCATACTCTGTATGCCACCGATACAGTTTGAGGAAGTTGGGTCGTTGGAGGAAGGGATGGATAAGTCGAGTGGGTGAAGAGCGTAGTTGGTGCCCCCAATAGTTATTGTTGCGTTGACCATGAGCGTACATCGTGGATAAACTAGAAGAACACTGTTAGTTGCAATTACAAGGCAGCATATAACGACGAAATCGCCGGCGCGGAGAAGATTATCGAACTCATAGGAGTGGGGGCAGAGGGGAAGAAGCAAACACTTACAATACCCATCTGCGGACGGGTTCACCCCAACCGCACCCCAGAACGCGTCCGCCAGTGTTGGTGGCAAGAGCACATACGGCGTCCCCGAATCGAGCACTGCGACCGAGTTTGCGCTATTTGGTATTACGTTGCTCTTCCCTACGATGAGTGAAGTGCTGTTTCCCCCAATCTGGAGGGTCATGCCCTGCACGGGTATGCGCCAGTATAATGCCCCTTCTGTGCTTGTTACGACGGGTGACCACTGGAGTGCTAGCGGGGTGAAGGAGCCAGGAGTGTTGCGTAATGGATGGGCCCCCATACCGAATACGCTGACTGTATCTGGATCTTCTGGTCGTTCAAGCATGAGGCTAAAGAATGGCGGTGGCGGAGTATCACTCCCGTACAAGTTGGAAAGGAAAGCAGCGCCATCCGGGTCGTTACCCACCACGGGTGGGATGAGCTGCGCGATCTTGCTATTAAGCGCCGGAGCCAGTCCCAACACGCCAGAGAACCCATCTTCTGAGAGTCGTTCGGAGGTGACGGAGGTTGCCGCGCACAGGGCCTGAGCGGGGATGTTGTAGGATCCGAAGGAGACATCGGACCATACGACGGGGCCGGAGACGGAGCCTTGTAGGTACTGGATGGAAAACGTCTTGTTCGTTGGGGTAGATGAAGAGGGATCGTAGACCGTTGCACCTGAGCAGGGAGATGAGGAGCAAGACGTTGAGGCCACCCACTGAGCGAGAGAGAAGATCAGATACCGTTTGCGCAGATGAGAAAAAAGGAGACGTACAAGGTCCGCTGAGCCCGTGTCTACCTGTAATGGAAACCAGGTCCCGCCAATCTTGCCGTCCACGGTATATACACTTTCCAATTGATGCATTAGTAATTCTATCGTCATTGATGAAGGAGAACACACCTGTCATATGGGTATTGAGTGCTCAACGACAAGCTCAACACGATCCCTTCCGTCCCTCCATTACCATAGTCCCTCTTCTCCTGCTCCCTCCCCGTTCGCTCCTTCGTTCTCCGCCATCTACCACTCTCGCGTTCCTCCGGTATGTGAAGATCTCGTCGCCGTCTTCGCCTGCTCCCCTCCCCTCCTCCGGGTATGGCTTCGCGCACAAGCGCCATTCATCTGTTGTTTTCTGGGCCTCTTGTACCGGCCCTCGCCCGTATGGTGGTGGTACCCTCGGTCAGCTCTTGGAGGCTGATGGCTGATGACCGTAATGAATAGAGGAGAGGAGTAGCGTTGATAGAATGCGGTACGAGTCAATGGAAGTGAATAAGGAGATGGTCAGGTGAGGCCGACTCTGACGGCGTACGAGCAACGGAACCAGAGCGTCTGGATTGGCGCCGGTGCGTGTATGGCTGTGTAATATCCGCCAAGCCAAAAAAAAGCGGGGAAAATGGAAGAGTTTGGAGAACAGGGACGAGGGTCTCGATGGTTGGGATCCGTTGTTTTCAACTCCTTTACGTGACGAAGTAAACAACTCTTCAGCTTCGTATAACGACACAGGCGAACAGGCGAACGTGTGGCTTGTTGTTGAGTCTGCAGGAGTGACATCTAACAGTCCGTGTCGTAAACACGTTCCTTTTCACAAGAAGTAATCACCGTCATGCTCCATTCATGTGGGGTAATCGCTTCCTCTTGTTCGGCCTTCTCTGGAGCACATCGCTGGCAACCTGGCACAGCGGTACTATGGAATCGCCCTCTAGAACAGGAACGACTGGTACCCCCTATGCTTCGGGTGATTAGGAAGCGAAGACCGTGATCGCTGGATATGAGATTCTGTTAAGGTCACGCCCACATGATCAAACACAGCAGGGAAATGAGGTTCCTGTGGACAGGTTGTCTTCCAAATGCCACGTCGTACATCTCGACGCTGTAATGGGGAGCCAGATGGTCGATCAGGGTACTCCGTGTATTTTAGGCTGGCATAATCGGCTTCTCCCTTGTTGCTTCTGCTTCTGCCCATCTGTAAGCCGGAAGATGCCGTTAGGGGCGATGCACATGCAATCATTCACGATATCGTCTCTTATCATATTGACTGCTTCACGTCCACGTTCGCTACCATTGAGTATCATTCGAGCTCCCCTTCTCAGCCGCAAACTACACACTGTCAGCGTCTTCGAATCCAGGTACGTCTGATCCCTCTTGTGTTGCTGCGTTCTATACAGTTCTCCCAAACACCGCGCAGCAAATCCGGCCTGACTCTCCGCTGCACATATGCATGTCCGTTGTCACTCCGTCACGCGTTCTCCTGATCCGTTTGCTTCCACGCAGCCGGCACTCACTTGCATAGAGCTGCTGTTGGGATCGTCCTTGTCTTCGGCTGAAGTGGCAAGTTCTTGAAGTGCTGTGGCCTTTGCTCTGGTGCAGCAGTGAAACTATACTCGCTGTCCCACGATCCGCAAGCTTTGGCCATGTATATGCTCAATGGTTGCTTAAAACCAGATATCTGATGACGACTCCCGATCACATGACATGTGTAGTAGTGTAGCGGATGCTGAGCTCGATATGCGACATGACTCAAAAGCCTCTACTGAGGTCCCCCGGATCAAGCACCAACTCCGACTTCCAGCTCTGACAACAAAGTGTGAGTGAATTTTAAGTAGTTTGCTAACAAGGAAATCCGCAGTAATACCGGTCTGACAGTGCCTGTGTGCTCCTGTTATGGACGAGAAGACATCGCACCTCTCTGGACACCAGAAGTCCTCCAGTACACATGTGTATTTATCCTTCTGAACTCAGTCTAACTGTGCGATAGACCGCACTTCACCAATGTATGATCGTGAGGGCTCCATGGCCTCCAATGCAAGAACACCAAGGTTGCGCGAATGCCTAGACACTCATAACAATGCAACTTCGAGTCAACGAGCCGTTGAAAAGGCTGACGAAGTTGCCACCATCGCGACCGCGAAGGCGACCGCCGATCCTGCGGGTACCCGCATACCACGTCCTTGTCTTACTACTATCGATACCCCCTACCGTGGCACTTGGAACAGCCCGCTGCCGAATATCGCTATACCGGGAGCACCATGGCCGCTGAGCGGGAATACATCATGAACTCCGTTACCCGTTTCGACATCGAGTGCCCGCTTGAGAGCCCGAAAATGTACTTGCTCCGCCAGGCCGCGCGCAAGACAGGCGACACCGAATTGTTTGCCTTCCTCAACGGAGGCCCGCCCACGTACCGTGCTGAAGAAGTTGATGCCTGTCTGCCACCCTATCACGGAATCGAGCGCACGGATCGAGGAGTTGAGCAATCCAGCAGGCCATACAACCGTGGGAGGATGTAACGTGTCTTGGAGGCAGGAACTTTCGCTTCTAAGTACCCATTTTTGAGTCCCAATTTTTTAGCAGCCAAGGAAGCCGCAATGCAGAAGGCGCGCGCAACAGCAGAACAACTCCGTCGTAAGCGGCTTTCAAAGAACGGATACTCCAGCATAGCCGGACAAGAGCCTGCCCCCTTCATGGTGCGCCGCAAGCCGGGCGGCGAGTCTGAATCGTAGGCACGCTCTTACAGCTACCCAAGCTTGTTGTCCTGTTTCGTACGCCATACATCGTGATTTTGTCACTTTCTACATATATTCATTGTTGTACAGACACCAAAATCCTCATGTGATCCTTCATCGCGGCGACGGTCTAATAGCGCACGAGAGGTATCGGAATGGTTGGGTGAGATGATACGAGCTGTCCCGTTGAAGCTTCGTACGGCGATCGCTCTCTGGCGAGGCAGGCTCTTGACGGCAACTCGCTTAGACAACCGATATACTACGTGGGCGAAGCGTATTTGATCGAACTTCTTGATGAGGTGGACCTGTGACTTCTGGTGTGATTGCAGCCGATCAGACCTGCAGTCGCCGATGGTCAACATATCGATGCGTCAAGAACAGAATGTGGCGTACCTCGGACTCTTGCTGTAAAGATGACTCGATATTTTGGTACAAGAATCACTGCATGCAGTAGATGATAAGATCGTCGTGAGAGATATGGTGGAAAATCAAATCACATCGCAGAGCTAGTTGCACTTTCTTACAAGGCAGGCACATCTAAGTCAGAGCTGAAGAGACAGGAATGCCAGTCGCATATTGGCTACCTAGTAGGCAGCTTGATCTTAGGCGATGACCGAGATGCTCGGCTCCGCGCCTCCGACTCATGCGGGGAGACGAGGCGTCGTGGGGCTGAACCTTGTGCGTCGGGGAGTGGGAAGAGGCGTGTATGTCGTGTTCTAGTTGATGACTTGGCACTGGCAGGGGACATCGGCGAGGAATGGGGCTTCTTCTCCATGTGTGAGGAATGCAACTCTGGGAAATGGCCAAGAAAGTACAGGTTGAAACTACGTAGAGGTCCGGAGATGTCGGAGGTCCGTAAGCAGATGTGTCTTGTTGGGAGTTGGACGATAGCTGTTCGCTTCGAGTGACATTTCCTTTCATCAGGGGTTGCATAGACCATGTATGATACGTATTGATGTAGCTCATGTGGAATCAGAAACCGGAAATGAGTTGTCGGAAACTGTCTCTACCACGGAAGAGAGCCGGAATAATGCATGTATCGTCCCTGTCGACAGAAGTGTACTGCGGCAGAATACCCGTTCTCAAACTTCGCAGCAGACAGTTGCGATAACCGCTGAACATCGCTCCAGCGCTTAGAATGTAGAATGTAGCACACAGCACTGCAGTTCTTTGACCGGGAAAGCATGTTGAGGATAAGAAAGAGGGCGTACCAAGAAAAAGTCGCACTGCCTCAAATGTGTCGTTATTATTGTCGCGGCGTTTTGTAATGGACCCGTGCCTTGCCTTGTGCTCGGTAACCCTGTGCAACCGCCTCGTCCCTTCTCTCCCTTCCAAGCCTCAACCTCGTTCACTTTTTATCCACCACTACGGCCAGCAGCTGAACAACCTCATCCTTTTCTTCTCCTTATTATCTGACATCTGGAGAGATAAAAAGTTGGCACCAAGTTGTCAACAATCTTGTTACAACTCTCCCTCTTGAATCTTGAATTCACTTGTTGAAACAACAACAAGCCCCTGAAGTCTGAACAGCGAGCGACGAACAGCCAGCAATGTCCCGCTATCCTCCAGAGGTGCGCAGTACACACCATCCAATACTCCCTGCTATCTTGAATACTTGCACAACGTACTAACCCCTTCATAGGCTGATGAAGCCCAGCGCTTTCCTCCACGTGGCCCTCAGCAACGGTACGAGCTGCAAGACAGGCCGTACCAAGGTCAACCTCCCCCGCAGCAATTTGGCAACCCGTACGCGAATCCGACTTCCCCGCCTCCCCGCGGGCCCTCTCCAGGACAAGTGATGCCAGGACAAGTGATGCCATCCCCCCGAGGCCCCTCTCCAGGACAGGTGATGCCGCCTCCTCGAGGAGCAGCTTCTATGTCCCCCTCTATCCAGCACCAAGACCCGTTCAACCCACCAGGTTCGGTTATGCCAGGTGCACCTCCTCGCCTCCCCACCCCGGGAAACTACCCCCCGCTGAGTCTCTCACCGCCCAACGCGCGCTCACCGCCACCAACCGTCCCTCCCAACCCACTCACAGGGGCTCAGGGACCGTACAGCACCACACAAGCGCAGCCGTACCTCTCCCCCGCCGCCGCCGGTCGGCCCCTAACACCGCAGGACGGCTTCCAAGTGCATGGCGGGCCGTACACCCAGAGCACGTATTCCCTCGCCGACCCGTTCTCTGAGCAGGGACACGGTGCTTCCCCCGACCCGTCGTTCGAGGGTGAACTGCCTCTGCTCCGCAGGGAACCGAGCTACGGCACCGATAATGGATTTGTAGGCGGGTTTGCTGGGAAGCCGGGAGGGATGCCTGGTGGACCTCTGGGACTGGGACCCCCGGCCTCGGATGAGGATGATGAAGGGACGATTCGATACGGACGGATCCCCCAGCGTGTGCCTAGACGGTACAAGACGATCAAGAAAGTCGAGTACGTATCTTCGCCTTTCTGATAGTGCGGTGAACTGATGTGCATGGGATAGGCTGACCAAGGGTAACCTTGTTATCGATTGTGCTGTACCGACGAAGCTGCTTGACATGTGCTCGAATCGCACGGACAGGGAGATGACATTCATGCGGTACACGGCTGCGACCTGCGACCCGGACAAGTTCAAAGAGGAAGGCTACTCCCTCCGCCAGGTGCTGTACGACCCGCCTCGTCGCACAGAGCTCTTCATCGTCATGACGATGTACAACGAGGATGAGACGCTGTTCGCGCTGAGCATGAACGGTGTGCTCAAGAATATCGCCCATCTGTGCACGAGGGACAGGAGCAAGACCTGGGGCCGTGATGGCTGGAAGAAGGTCGTAGTATGCATCGTCAGTGACGGAAGGCAGAAGATCAACTCGCGCACGTTGAGCGCTATTGCGGGCATGGGCGTCTACCAGTCGGGTGTGGCCAAGGTGCGTCCACCGAAAGCAGCAAGAGCACCAGCTAACAAGCAGTACAGAACGTCGTCAAGAATAAACCTGTGACGGCGCATATATACGAGTACACCACGCAGAGTGAGTCAAATTTCCCTATTTTCTGGTCGGCCCGCTGACGCTCCCCCAGTCTACATCTCCCAAGACTGCCGGTTCCAGGGTTCCGAAAAGTCCGTCCCAGTCCAAGTCATCTTCTGCCTCAAGGAGCAGAACCAGAAGAAGATCAACTCCCACCGTTGGTTCTTCAATGCCTTCGGGACCGTGCTCAACCCCAACGTCTGTGTCCTCCTCGACGTGGGTACCATGCCTGGCCCTACCTCGATCTACCATCTCTGGAAGGCGTTCGACATCAATTCGAACGTTGCTGGCGCTTGTGGAGAGATCGTTGCTCGGAAAGACAAATGGGGCAAATGGCTAATGAACCCGCTTGTTGCCTCCCAGAACTTCGAGTACAAGATGAGTAACATCCTCGATAAGCCTCTCGAGAGTGTCTTCGGGTACATCACTGTCTTGCCCGGTGCGTTCTCGGCGTACAGGTATATCGCCCTGCAGAATGATGCAATGGGCACTGGGCCGTTGCAGAAGTATTTCCTGGGTGAGAAAATGGTGCGTACCCGTATTCTCGAGGCAGAATTGATGTTGATAGTCTCTGATAGCACGGTTCCAACGCCGGCATCTTCGAAGCGAACATGTACCTAGCCGAGGATCGTATCCTTTGCTGGGAGCTTGTGACGAAACGCGACTGTTCCTGGATTCTGCACTACGTCAAGTCCGCTTACGCGACCACTGACGTGCCGGAGAAAGTGCCCGAGCTCATCTCCCAGCGCCGGCGCTGGCTTAACGGTTCCTTCTTTGCTGCCATCCACGCGACGATGCACTTTGCATACATCTATCGCAGCAGCCACAATATACTACAGAAGGCCTGGATCCATATTGAGATGCTCTACCAGACGTTCAACCTGATCTTCTCCTGGTTCGCTTTGGCAAACTTCTATATCTCTTTCGTGTGTGCCGTCTTACTTTTGCGGGTAAGGGAGACTAACGCGAGCACAGATCATCCTCACTCAGTCGATGGAAGACCTCAACATCACCGGTATTCACGTTCTCAACATCGTCCTTCATTATCTCTATCTCGGCTTGCTCATCATGTGCTTCATTCTTGCCCTTGGTAACCGCCCACAGGGCGCCAACATAGCCTACACCGTTGCTTTGATTGGATTCGCGTTGATCACGATCTACATGACGGTGCGTTCTCTCGCTTCGATATCCTGGAGCGGCCACTGACCCGTGCATAGACTGCTGCTATTCTCCTCGCTGTCAAGGGTATCGAAGCTGCCGCGAATAACGCCAATCAGGGCATCCTTACACTGACAGACTTCTTCGCTAACTCCATCTTCCGAAACATCGTTCTGTCGCTCCTTGCCACCACGGGCTTATATCTCATTTCATCACTCCTTTTCGTGAGTACTCATGGTGGACGACATAGTCTGATATTGATCATGAAATAGTTCGAACCCTGGCACATGATCACGTCCTTCCTTCAATACGTCCTGCTCGCTCCCTCCTACATCAACGTCCTTAACGTGTACGCCTTCTGCAACGTGCATGATATCACCTGGGGTACAAAAGGCGACAATAAGATCAGCACAGATCTCGGTGTTGTCAAGTCCAAGGCGGACGCAAAGGAGGTCGAGGTTGAGATTCCTACCAATGAAAAGGACATCAACGCGGCCTATGAGGACGCACTGCATGTCTTGGGTAGTCCTGCTCCCCCTGAGGTCAAGAAGGTCGACGAAAAGACTGCACAGGAGGACTGGTACAAGTCTTTCCGCACGAACGTACGTAGTCTTCCCTTTGTTGTAAAATTATGTGCTGACCATGAATGGGTAGGTTCTGCTTGTTTGGGTGCTCTCCAACGCCGCCCTTGCCGTTATCATCACATCTGCCACTGGCAACATCTCAATCGATACCCAAACCGGTAACGCAGAAGTCAACGGCTACATGGCCTTTGTTCTCTTCTCCGTTGCTGGCCTTGCTCGTGAGTCTTATCTTGCAGCCATTCCAGGCACAGGCGATGCTCATCCGATGTGCAGTTTTCCGTTTCGTTGGTGCCACTGCGTACCTCATTATTCGTCTCTTCGCCGGCGAGTAAAGCGCTTTTTCATGATGAACACTGAGGCTGGACTCTGAGTTACGTTTCATCCCTTTGCGCTGCCTTATGCAGATCTATCTATCATACGTTTCGAAGTGTAGTATGATGTACAGTAGTAGGTTTAGTTTTGAGGATTCTGGTTGTTTACAGCAGTGAGCTTGGTTCGTGATGACCACGTGATCTATACGTAACTCAAGACAGGGCAAGTTGATGACTGCAGGGCCAGCACATAAATTCTTGGCTCGCGCATCTGTACCTTTGCTCGCACCCCCTTCTTCCTCTACTTCTGCACATCCCAGGAAAGGCACTTTCTGTTGGAATGGGCAACTGCTGTCCTGGTAGCGGATACGTTCGCCTGCCAGGTAATGGGGTGAACGAGTGCCCAAGTCCCACCAACATATCATCTCAAATCATAACGCAACAACCTCCAGAGACTGAACAGGCGCATACTCCCGTGATTGGCACAGCACATGTCTTTTGGGACATTGAAAATTGTCCAATATCTAGTGGTGGGCAATATCTTCCTTTTTGAAGGATTATGACGCCTGATTGGCGATACATCAGGCATCCGCCCCTCGACGGCTGTAAGCAATATTCGGAGCTTGCGAACCCCGCGGGGACATGCTCCTTCTCGTATTGGTACGAATCTTTATGTTCAGTAAATGTCTTTCTGATTGGCAAGCAGTTGCAGCGGTTGCTAAAGCCCCACTATCGGTCACTATTCGAGAGGCTTTGACGAACTTGGGCGTCGATCTTCTGGATTGTTCGTCCACGAAGCCATCTGCGGCAGACTTTGTTCTTTTGCAAGTTACGTCACTATTATGCCACCGATATTTACTCATCATGATCCTCTGTGCAGGGACGAGGTCCAGCGATTCAGCTTATCGCACAAGCCCTCCACCTCAGGTGTCATGTACGCGTGATATATGCTGTGTGGGACCATGCTGAATATGCTGAGCTAGTTTCATTTCGTCGGATCGAGATTTTGGAAGGCGCTTGTATATCTTGAAAGAAGCTGGATTCGACATTCTATTGGTCCATCAAGTAAATATCTCCGAGCCGTTAGAATCTGCTACTGAAAACCGGCTGCTTTGGCCGGAAGTTTGTGGATCAAACCCTTCCACGAAGTCCCCCACGTCAGACTCGGAGCAAAGGATATCGCCAGTCCGGAAGACGGTGCAGACGTCGCCTGATGGGACATCCTTGCCTCCTGAGTCATTGCTACCAGCTGGCCTTCCACCACCTCCTTCGAACACTTTCCCTGTCCAGCCTCCAGTCGTGCTGGCTTCAACACGCTCGTCCCAGCTTACGGACTTATTCCTGGTCTACAGTGTCCTGCATTGGGTCGATCAGAGATGTTTTCATCTTGTTCCCGCGCACCGGTACAAGGACCAAGTGTTCACTACGTTACGGGAGTTGGAGCAAACGAAAATGGTGTGCTCGTCATCTACTTTGACGAGCAATCCGGTGTCTTCGTTTGCTTTTTTGTTCCTGACGACAAAAGGTGAAGCTTTACTACATCACGGATTCTGGCGCCACATTCTCTTCCGTGTCGTCGTACTTTCGTAAAGCCACGGAGAAAGGTGTCTTTCGAACAAAACCTTGGAAGGATAGCGGGGATTTGGTGCTCATCCTAAAGGATCCTTTTGCAACCCTATGGACCAAGTTCAAAGATATTGTTGTGAAGCCGTTCGACATCTCTGCGCAGAGCTTGGAAGGTGCAGATTGTGGGCAGATGGCTGCTGAAAGAGTGTCTATGGCTTTAGGCAGGCTTGCGCTCCCAGAGGTTCTGTTCCTGCCTGTTGCTTTGTTACAGCTGGAGAATAAGCTTTCTCGCAAGCATCAGATGCGTCATTTGGAGAAGCTCCTCGGATTCCAAGTCGGACAGTGCCAGTACGCAGCCCAGAAGGCGGGTCTCATTGTGGGAGCCGGTACCTCGGGGTGCAAACTTACGCAGAGCGGAGTGGATATCGTCAATTGCTTCGAACGTGCACTCGATCGGAAGTAGCGCACGTTTCGCATTTCTGCTTGGGGTTTATCGCGGTGCAGCTTTGTCCGGCAAGCGATTTTGTTCCCTTGTCGAACGGTGCGGAGCCCATTCGAGTCCGTTCTTTTGAAAATTCTGATGAGCGCAGACTAGTATGTTTAGCCACGGTCATGTACAGGCCTATTTGTATGTAGCCCTGCTATGGTCTCACAATCTGTAGGAAACACATGTGGGTATGTGTTGTTGTTCGGTCTATTTCAGCTTCGTGTAATTGAGAATGGGTCTGGTGCAAAAGTTTGTGCGATTGGGGGGACACGATGATGGAGGGTGTCTTTCCTGCTTTTCACAGCCAGGCACGTGGCTTGTTCACAAAGCTTCCGGGCCGTTTCAAGCTCCGGCGAACAATTGAATGTTGTCAGTCGACTATTATTAGGTCTCAGTAGTGGAACAAGCTATAGCGAAGGCCATAAAAGTCATGTCCGGAAGCCAACAACCCGCAGAACGATCTGATTTACTATCTCAAGCTCTTGATCTCTGTAATAACCTCTGTGATATCCTAGAACGTCTCGGTCCTTCTCGCTTCACTCAATCGGACGATGTCGCGGTATCGAAGGTTCACGAGCTTGAATCAGCCCTGCATCGTCGACTACAACAAGTTAGCCAGAAATGTAACAGTGCGCTCTCGGCGGTATCCCGCCTGTCAGACGATATCCTACGACTCATCATCCAGCATGGCTACGACGATGAAATCATGGATTACTATCCGAGGTTCCCGGTCAGGACTTTTGCACGAGTTATCTTTTGCATCTCCCGCCGTTGGCGTGCCATCGCAATAGATATGGGCAACGTATGGACGGACTTGGTGTTCTCGAAGCCATCGAAGCCAAGATACCTAGGAGATGAGGACTCCAAGCCGATCCACCCCTGGTATGGAAGTTCGAGAGCGCTTAATGATATGTCTACCTGCAATCTCGAGCGCTCGAAGCAGTCGCTCCTCAACGTGAAGCTGAATATTACACAACTCCGGGATTCCCGAAGGATGATAAACGAGTATTTGCATGTGTGCAACAACCGTGTCGCCGATCTCGCTCTCAGAGCAAGTACTTCAAGCGGGGAAGACATGAAAGCGATTGTCCAGTGCGTCACTCAAACAAGAGAAACCTTGCGTCGCCTCCAGATTTTGATTCGTCAACCGACAACGGACGAAGGCGGACGTGAAACGATCGAATCGCTACTTTTGTGTAATCTTCCACGGCTGGTAGAGGTTCAACTATACGCCTTACCCCTCCCATTGGTCCACCGGCCTGAATACGCCGCGTTCCTCCGATGTCGCCATATTCATCTAGAGCTCAACCCGCAGATACAATACAGTCCATCACACCTGATTGCACTGCTCAAGTGTGCTCCCCAGCTCCAAGGACTATATCTCGTGACATATCGTCAGCATCAAGACCAGGCTGGGGCTGAGCCTGAATTTCACTTGCCACGCATGCCGCTTCCAGAATTGCGCAGCCTCACATTCAAATCAATGTGCATCGGGCGTCACACACTCGGAAGACTTACGGCTCCCAAGATTGAGAGTCTTTTTTTATCTGTTATCTCCCCCTCTGATGCTCATGACAAACAAAACGCTTACGTTGACGATCTCCTTGACTTTATTACTGCCTCGTCTGGCTCAGACAGTGCGCCTCCGCCCATAAAGACACTCTCAGTCGAAGGCGGAATAATGCACAGTCTCCATCGAATAGTCCGTATCATACCGGGTCTGGAGGTTTTGCAAATCGTCTCTGATCCCCTCTGGAGTGTTGTTGAGGAAGAAGAACGAGGAGCATTTCTGAACGAATTAGCGGCGCAATCTTTTTCCCCGACGGGAGACGTGACATTTGTGGACGGGGTACCATGCCCAGTGCTCTGTCCCAATTTACAAACCCTACAGTCTCTCGCGTGGCCGAAGCCAAGTCATATTCGATTGTTAACGACCCTTGCGTCTCGTCGTCGGTCCGCTGGGATGCCCCTTACTCGAATACGCAGGGCCGATTGGCCACTGCAGAATGTATCGCCCGAAACGATCGGGATGTCGGCCACACCTTCAGAGCAATACGCGCTCGAGAAAGCGCTTGCTAGAGAGGCTGAAATCCTTGAGTGTGGGAAGTTTAGATGGGAATGGAAGGATGGCGGTCGGTGGCAGAAAATGCCGAGCATCGGACACCGGAACCGCTCGCCCTATTTGGATGGACCCTAGGATATTCAGCCACGTCGGCATGAATGATTGGATCAAGTCGAGCGTCTCGACGCACCAGCAGACAGTGGAATATGGTGGTGGGTAAGTGAAGGAACACCGGGTCAATGCACCGACACACACTATGGTGTCACCATTCTGCGAACAGTTCGTACAGTTGTACACGAAGTCGAAGAGGTATATCCGATACAAATGTCATGGTAACCCTTGAGCGACAGATACCAAACACTTCGACATCCTAGGCACTTCACCTCTCATTAGAGTCCATCCATCTTCCCAACCACTCTCCTCCCTCCTCCTGTGACTCAGGTGCTCTCGCTCGTCTTCCATGACTACCAGTGGGGGAAGATTGGACCCAAGCGGCAGGAGAGGGAGAGGACGAGGACGAGGAGGGTGTGAGAGGGCTTGTTGATCCTATACGCTGCTTTGAAGACGTAGAGGATTAGCGGGGGATGCACGGCGGAGGATCTGCTGAAGGAGTTGAAGTGATGCTACCGAGAGGTGTTTGCGCATAACATGTACAACATGTATACAACGATGTGAGTGCTCAAGCACGTGACTAAAAGGCAACAATGGGATTGGTCAGAATACTTCCGCACCTTTCAAGCTCCGTTGAACACTATGAGTCGTCTGGTCTTAGATGCAAACGGGCAGCAGACAAGGTGATTGAAGTCATGCCTGAACGACAGCAACCCGAGCAACGATCTGCTTTGCTATCTCAAGCTATTGATATTTGTACAAGTCTTTGTGATGTCCTAGAACGTCTCGGACCATCTCGCTTTACTCAATTGGACAGCGATATCGGGGTATCGAAGGTTCACAAGCTTGAATCAGACCTGCATAGTCGTCTGCAGCGAGTCGACGAGAAAAGGAACGATGCTCTGGCACCCATATCCCGCCTATCAGACGATATCATACGACTCATCATCCAGTATGGCCACGATGATGAAATTCTTGACTACCGGAAGGTCACTGTTAAAACTTTTGCACGACTTGTATCCTGCATCTCTCGCCGTTGGCGTGCCATCTCCATAGATATGTCGAACGTATGGACGGACTTGGTGTTTTCGAACCCTAAATACCTGGGAGATGAGGACTCCAAGCCGACCCACCCCTGGTATGGAAGTGCCAAAGTGCTCAGTGGAATGTACACCTCCAACCTGGAGCGCTCAAAGCAATCGCTGCTCAATGTGCAGCTATATATTCCACAGCTCCTGGACCCCCGAATTATGATAAAAGAGTACTTGCACGTGTGCACCAACCGTGTCGCCGATCTCAATCTCGAAGCGAACACGTCAAGCGCGGAGAGCATGAACGCGATCGTCCCGTGCGTCACTCAAACAAGAGAAACCTTGCGGCGCCTCCGGATTGTTCTAGAGCAGTCGACAGCGGACGACGGCGGACGCGATCTGATTGAAACGCTACTTTTGTGCAACCTTCCGCGGCTAGTAGACGTTCACTTACAAACCATTCCCCTTCCTTTGGTCCACCGCCCTGAATTCGTCGGTTTCCTCCAATGTCGCCGTCTTCGTCTGGAGATGTTCCATCTGAGGCAATATACTCCGGCACGACTGGTCGGACTGCTCAAGTGTGTTCCCCGGCTCCAACAACTACATCTCGTCGTGTTTCCTCACGAATCAGACCAGGTCGCTGCGGAGCCTAACATTCACGGGCCACGCCTCCTGCTGCCAGAATTGCGTACCCTCAAATTCATCTCATCACCTGTCGGTCGTCACACGCTCGGACAACTTCTGTTTCCCAAGATCGAGAGCCTGTCAGCGTTCATTCTCTCCCCCTCTGTGTCTCATCACCAAGAAACGGCTTACGTTGGCGAACTCCGTAAATTTCTGACTGCCTCGTCTAGTCCAGACGGTATGCCTCCGCCGGTAAAGGCACTCTCGGTGGACGGTGGAATACTGCGCAGTCTCCATCGAATACTCCGAGTCATACCCGGTCTGGAGGTATTGCAAATCGTCTTTGATCACGACTGGAGTCCCGTTGAGGAAGAACAACGCGTCGCTTTTCTCAACAAGTTAGGGGCGCAACCGCTTTCCCCAAAGGGAAACATCACATCTGTAGACGGGGAGCCATACTCAGTCCTCTGCCCCAATTTACAAGCGCTAGAATCTCTCGCGTGGGCGAAGCCAAGTCATATCCAATCGCTGACGACCCTTGCGTCTCGTCGTCGGTCGTTTGGGATGCCCCTTACTCGAATACGCATGCTCAATTGGCCTCTGTCTGCTGCACCCCCCGAAACGGTCGGGATGCCGGCCACACCTTCAGAGGAATACGCGCTTGAGAAAGCGCTTGCTAGAGAGGTTGAAATTCTCGAGTGTGGGGAGTTCAGGTGGGAATGGAAGGAGGGAGGGAGGTGGTTCAAAGCGCCTAGGGTCGGAGACCCGCGCTTCCTATCCGATGCGAATTGAAGGCTAGAATACACAACAACCTGGGCGTGGAAGGATCACGTTGAGCGCTTCGAGCCTCTGGCAGACAGTGATAGGATAGTGGTGGGTGGAAACATGAATACATACGTGTATGCCAGGATGGGCGAGGAATTGAAGAACATAACAGAGTGAAATTAGAGCATACGGTCAACATAGGCATGAGCAGTGATTTGACTGATACACATTCGACCACTTCGGGGTCATCGAAAAGACTAAACAAGGACAAAGGACAAGAACGAAACAAACAAAATCCTAAGCTAACAACTACACAGCGTTCGATGAATTCCCGCTATACCACCAATCGATCGAGAGCAATAGAGCCTGTGGGCGAGGCGCTCAGATAATGTAAGATCCGCAAGAGGAGCGCCTTGGCGGCCAACAGGGAGGATGAAGCGAGAGAGTAGACACACAGGGCACGGTACGGGTGCGGTTTACTCGGGGCCCTTGACCTTCTTGCGCCCGGATGGTGCGACGAGGGACTTGTGGATGAAGGGCAGGACACCACCACCTGATTTCGAGTTAGATAGGTCGAATGTGAAAAAAAACGGGAAACGCACCTGCGATAGTCGCCTTAATAAGCGTATCTAGCTCTTCGTCTCCGCGGATAGCGAGCTGCAAGTGGCGCGGTGTGATACGCTTGACCCTGAGGTCTTTGGAGGCGTTGCCTGCATGGGGTGATGAGCAATGCGGCGACAGTGGTTGGGTGTGACGTACCTGCGAGTTCTAGGACCTCTGCGGTGAGGTATTCGAGGATTGCTGTAAGGTAGACAGCAGCCTTCGCTCCAATGCGTACGTTATTCTGTGTACGCTGCTTGAGGTATCTGTGTATACGTCCGACAGGGAACTAAGTAGAAATAAATATGAGCATTGTTGGTATTGTTGAAAAAATAAAGTGGCGACTAACCTGGAGACCCGATTTGGCACTCCGCGTCGTGGCCAGCTTGTCCGACACGGGAGGCTTCGACTTTCCCCCGGCGCCCCTATCAGTACCTCGCTCGCCAGCCATAATGGGTGATTGATTTGCAACAGAAAAAGTTGAGAAATCAGGTGAAATACGTCGCAGAACACGCTCGGAGGATGAGTTGAAGCTGAGAGCAGGTCGGAAGTGGTCGTTCGGAGGAGGGAAAGAGTTACTCGACCGGGGGGCGGGGTGGACCAGTCGCGCCCATCCAATAAACGGATTCAATTTGTTTGTGACTGAGCTAGGTCACGTGATTCATAAATACTTTCATCCTAACTTCATTACTTCTTGGCTGCAGTATATTCTACACGTTACGAGAAATGGCTGCCTCATCTAAAAAGGTTGGATTATCTAAAGGACTCATGGCGCTCGGGTTCATGCAACGCGGTCCGGCAGTATCCCAAACCGAGCCTGCAAAACCTGTAGTGGTGGAAGACGGCAAGTGGGAACTCGGAAGTGCGATGCAAGAAAGCTGGGGGCAAGACACGAGTATCCCGTGCGTATTACTGCATGTCCTTGACATTGATGTACTCATTAATGGGATAGACAAACAGTGACGTACGAAGAGTCTTACCTGCCCTTTCTCACACCGGAGCACGCGTCTACCTCGCGCTTAGCGCCCGGAGGTGGAGGCCGCAAATCTTTTGGGAGGTTCAACAAGTCGCTCGAAACTGTTGGCCTTTTCCCTCTTTGCCAGAGCTTGCGCTAGTACTAACATGATGGACAGAGACCGGAAGAAGAGGAACTCGCGGCGGATATGATGCCTGAACCAGAGTCATCGCACGAGGAAGAGAGGGACAAACTCCCACGAGCTCGCAAGCTGGTCGTCAACCCCGCATCTCTGATTAGCGCTGAGCAAGTCAGGCGACCATGGGATCAGCGAACAGGTGAGGAGGTTGGACGACGGAAGGGCGGGAGGAGGGAGCAACGGGACGGTCGTGGGGATTCGGTGAGCGTAGATGAGAGGACACGAGGTGGAGAGGGTAGGTATCGTCCCCGGTCTCCAATAGGCGCGCCAGGAGCAAGTGAGGACAGGACCGTGAGGAAGAATGGGAAGAAACGGAGCCGTGTGGAAGACGAGGATAAGGAGGAGGACACGCACAGCAGACGAGAGAAGAAGCCAAAGAAAGACAAACAGAAAGAAAAGAACAAGGGGAAGCAGCGGTCGGAGTGAGCGCTTGTGCTCTTTTCATGTCTTGTTTAGTTTGGGTGCTCCGGTATTGCGTCTCGGAGTAAATTGCTGTCCTGTATTTTCATGTGTTGCATACCCTGCATTATAATAACCACATCCTTCGATATCACAATTACGATTTTACATCAACCCAATTCTAACAGAACTTGCAACCTGTAGAGGAGTCATTCGAACATACTTCGCATCTCGGGCCGGGGTAAGTGCCGACCGAAGCGCACGTTCGTCCGAGTCACTGCCGAAACGGCACTCCGCATCATATCCCCCCCAACAACGGAGCGGACCTGCATGCCTCTCCGCTTCTCTCCCACTTCATTACGCTTACCGTTTCGTGCTCTGAGGACTCGCAGGATGGCAAAGTTCGACTACCAGGTGCGCTGTTCCTCACACTGCCAAACAAGTTGAGCTGATGAAGGGTAGCTCATACCCGGTTTTTTTGTCCAAGACGACCGTGAGTACTCTAGCGAGGTGCGTATTCCCAGTCTTCAACGATCTCTGCTTACTCCTACCCGCATATTTTGTATACTTGCAAATGCACGTCTGTCATCCCAACAGCACCAACTCATCCCCTCCTTTGGTCTGCCGAACCCGGAGCACCCCGAGCGCTGGGAGGAGTTCAAGACGCGTGTGCAGGCGCTACACGAGGACCGGAAGCGGAAGAACGGGCTCGTGAAGGTGCTCTACGTGGGACGGCACGGGCAGGGGTGGCATAACGTCGCACTGGCAAAATACGGTGTGCGCTTTGCTGGCGGTTGTTAGGGGCGCTAATGGGTGTACGGGTAGGGAGGGAGCTCTGGGATGGGTGGGTATTGTTTGGGAAGAGTAGGGAGGTGCTGAACGTGAATGTGTAGGAAGTGGGCAGCTTTGGAAGGGGACGGCGAGATCGTCTGGGGCGTGCGTGCTCTCTCCGTTCTCAGGTTTAGTTTTAGTCTCTCATCTCTCCCAGCCCGATCCAGAGCTCACTCCGCAAGGAATCCAAGAAGCGAAGAACGTCAACTCTGCATGGGCGAAAGAGCTGCCGGAGGGGATGCCTCTCCCCCAGCGGTGGTTTGCGAGCCCATTCCAGAGAGCGAGTAACACACTTAGGATCACGTTCGACGGGCATGTGGAGGATCCCAAGCCTCTGATTATCGAGGTGCGCTTTCAGCTTAGCCTACCGGTGCAGTCCGAACTTAAGGCGTGATTGTGCGACGCTGTAGGAATTGCGCGAGATGATCGGCATGCATACGTGCGACAAGCGCTCCCCGAAACGGACCATCGCTGAGCGTTTCCCGACTTTCGACTTTGAGGAAGGGTTCGCGGAGGAGGACGAGCTCTGGCTGACACATCAGCGGGAAACCGAGGAGGAGATGATCATTCGCGCTGCTCGCGGGTTGGACAAGATCATGGAGCTTACGGATGCGGACGACGTCTGTAAGTTTCGAGCGCCTGATTCCTACAAGCGTGTCCACCGTGTGTATGTGCTGTTGACGCGTGGGCAGACATTTCCATTTCCGCGCACACAGGTATCGCGCGCGCGCTCATGGCAGCGGTCGGCCACCGACGATACGATCTGCCGACGGGTGGTGAGTTCCGGCCCCCCGGTCTCCGTGGGCAGGGTCAACGCTGCTCCGTACAGCGCGGCCATGCCACGGAGATCGGCACTTGTGGTTTAAACCCTCGCTGACAGGTTTTTTTGCTGTAGGGGTTTTACCGATGGTTGTTGCCATCTCCGGGTGCTGAGGCTTGTCCCTTGCCCCTTTTGATTCTGGTCCATGGAGATAGAGGCTTGTGAGTCGGCTGACATAATGAGTGTTCTGCCAAGTCACTTGTGTAGATGGGTACGATAGACTAGAAAAGAGAACATGTGAGATGTGAAGGGGGATGAATAACATTTTTTATTTATTCTGTTGGAGGAATAATGAAAAAGTGAACAATATTCGTGAATGACTCGGAATATCCGTCCGAGCCTCGGCCAGCGATGTTCGGGGTCTCCGTCGGAGTTTCCAATGACGCACGTTCAGCTTCCGTTCGCCCGGACACGACGGCGCATATATTATCGGTGGGGCCAGCGTCGACTTTACTCTCCTTCATCCCAACGACCAGCATACACCTCATTTCACTCACAATGCCCTCCTCCCTCGACTTCCTCAAGGCATCGGGCACAACAGTCGTGTCTGACTCGGGCGACTTTGAGTGTGAGTAGACCGCCTCATGTATCTAGGGTATCTGATCAATTCCACCAGCTATCGGCGCATACAAGCCTCAGGATGCCACTACCAACCCTTCGTACGTTCGTATATGCGCATACATTTACAATACTGAACAAGTTGCAGACTCATCCTCGCCGCTGCTGGTAAGAAGGAGTACGCCCACATCATCGATGCTGCCGTTAAGTACGGCAAGCAGAAGGGTGGGAACATCGATCACCAGGCAGCTGTTGCCATGGACCGTCTCGTGTGTATTTTTACATCGTAACCTCAACTTACACTGACGAAACTCATTCAGCTGATCGGGTTCGGCTCCGAGATCCTCAAGATCATCCCCGGCCGTGTCTCTACCGAGGTCGACGCCCGCCTGTCCTTCGACACCGAGGGCACCAAGGCCAAGGCGCGCGAACTCATCGCACTGTACGAGTCGGTCGGCATCAAGCGCGAGCGTGTGCTCATCAAGATCGCATCTACTTGGGAGGGTATCCAGGCTGCCCACCAGCTCGAGAAGGAGGGCATCCACTGCAACCTTACCCTCCTCTTCGGCTTTGCGCAAGCTGTTGCCTGCGCTGAGGCTGGTGTTACCCTGATCTCGCCATTTGTTGGTCGTGTATGTCTGCCTGTCGGAAGTGTTGCGCACATGCTGATTGTTGCCATAGATTCTCGACTGGTACAAGGCCCACAAGCCTGGCCCGAACTACGACGGTGACAACGACCCTGGTGTGCAATCCGTCAAGCGTATCTTCAACTATTACAAGCAGCACGGTTACAAGACGATCGTCATGGGTGCTTCTTTCCGCAACATCAAGGAGATCGAGTGCCTCGCTGGTGTTGACTTCCTGACGATCGCACCCAAGCTGCTCGAGGAGCTGAAGCACAAGTCAGAGCCGGTACCCGCGCACTTGTCCGTCAAGGAGGCTCTCGCTAGCCAGAAGATCCCCAAGGTGACCTACCTGCACAACGAGCCCGAGTTCCGCTGGGAGCTGCTGGCGGATAAGATGGCGTTTGACAAGCTTCACGAGGGTATCGCCAAGTTCGCTGAGGACGGACAGACCTTGAAGAACATGCTCAAGGAGCGTCTGCACAAGGCGTGAAGAGGATACCTCCTGTCCTTGCCCTAGCTAGCGTCTCACCGACGCGCGTATGACATATTTTAGCTAACTAGATCGATGTACTGAAGTGAAAAGCCAAACTGAAGACAAAATCAAATGTAACGGGAATGCATTATGCGGATTTCATCATGGTCATTGTTGGAAATGAAACATTCATTGTAGCATTGTAAAATGGATGAAACATTGTGAAGTTGAATCATGATTTTATGTCGTTGGAGTGGGGTGCATAGTGGTACATGCTGGACTATGTGAAAATGGAGCTGTGACAAGAAAGGAAATAAGAAAGAGAAGAGCTGGTATTGTTACTGCAGAATAAAGGACATTGCAAGCAGAGAAAAGAAGGTACTGTACACCGAGGTTGCGCGTAGTTTTCCCTATATGTTGGTTGTTGCTACAGATTACCCGAGGGGGAAGGAGATGAACACTCAACGACCAATGTGTTGAAAGAGACGTCGACTACGGGTCAGCGAACGGGTCCTCCCCACCCGAAGGAAGGCGGATGACGACCGTCGTTGGCCCTGAACGGCGGAGAGCTATCGTCTGCGCCCGACTGACAAGGACGGACTTGTACAGCGGAGGCTCGGTCCGTCGTTCGCGGCCTTTCTGATGACGGGAGTGTAATTCCGCTCTATGAAGGCGTTCATTTTCCTTCAACAACTGTTAGCTGCCTTTTCCACGTTCGGGGGAAGGGAGGGGACACACGAGTTCAAGCGCAGGGATCAAGCTGATCAGCCCCATCGTCGCTTCCTGAAACCGGGCCCAAGTTGTAGGATGCGACCAAATCTCGCTCGCCCCGTCCATAAACTCGGACATGGCATAGGGCAGCATGGACTGGAGGCGGGCGGAGATGTCGTTCCGCGTGTGAGGGGGCATGTCGCGCCACCGGCGGGCGACGTCTGATTCTGCACTCGGGGTTAGAGGGAAGGAGAGAGGGAAGGTAGGGAACGCACCTTCGTCGTGTAACACTCCGTGGATATAGGTCATCATATACTGCGACTGGGAGGGTAAAGGAGGCGGAGAGACGGACTGCTTGATCATGGGCTGTCCGAGATGCGCATCAGTGAGTCACGTCCAACGTCCAAGAGAGATGTACGAACCCGAGCAGACAGCCTAGGAGTTTGAGGTGATAATATCGGACCACCCATGCTAATTACGTATGCGTATTACTGTCCAAAGAATGTAGATCGCCGAGTGCCAGATGTGTAGGAGAGAGAGAGAGGAAGGAAGTGGTCGTCCGCCTTTAAATACTCTGCGGGTGCACGCGGCCTGAAATACGTCCCGTGCAGCCCCTTGTTGCTTCTTATTCGACGGCTATGATCACTTAATGGCCCTTCGTACTTTATAACACGAAGTAATATATATTCCTAGTGACGCCGTTGACACAACTAATACGGAAATGGACGCGCTGTCGGCGGTGCGGCTAGCGGTTATTGAATAAAGGGGAAATGCGGGGGCGGGGGAAAACTTGACACAAGAGTCGCCCTGGGACGCCCGCTTTACACCGCCTGTGCTGTCAGGGAATTCTGTCGGCTGTGGGCCATCAACGGGCGGAACAGGGGCATAGGTGCTGTCCATTCCCTATTGACTTTCTACGGAAATGCATATCCAGGATATCGTAAGAAATGTGCATTTCCGGTATGGCTAGTGTCAGGAAGAAGACGATAAAGCCAGGTTTGAACCCGCCAATTCATATCGTCGCTACAACGCTTAACGATGCCAACCTACAATTCCTGTTGTCCCAACCACGACCTAATCTCCCTCTAGTCCTTCTTCAGGTCTCGCCGGAGGACAAAGATCCTTTCTCCTTCAGGGGTCAGCGCTGGCAGCTCCTCAGCACCCAACGACTGCACGCCAGCAACGTCCCTCCCCGGTGCGACGACGACAAACATCTCCAGCCCGTCACCGACCTCGATATGCCGCTCCGTCGCTGACGTGAACGAATCGATCACGATGGACAGGACGGTGTCCATGGGGAGGTTGCCTGGCTCGAAGGGTGCTGCGCCTGGTGCAGGAGTCTGGTTCTTGAAGTAGATCTAGGCCAAAGGTCAGCAACAGTCCTGTCTGTGGGCATAGGAAGTACCTGGTTGTCCAGGAAGGGTTGGATAAGCGACGACGCAGCGCCTGCTGCGCGACATGCTTCCCGCTCATATGACCCTACCGGATCGAAGGAGTATACCGCACCCGTCCCTTGCACCCGTCAGCACCTTCGACAATAGTACATATATGCGCTCACCATCTTCCTCAATCCCACCCAGGATGTTGTACGTGTAGTAAGGGAAAAACCGCTTGCCATACAGCATGCCCTGGATCATACGCGCGATGGCCTTGAGGGGCATCTGCTTCGAGTGCGCATGTCTGTACCACTGTAAGACGTCAACATGTGCTCTTGTGGGCAAGGAAGAGCGCACCTCTATCCTCTGCTTAACCTTCTTCACGAACGTCGAGCAGTCTGCCTGGAACCCGTTCACCGCCAACACCGCCCTGTCCGTCCTACACCAACCCAAGCATCAGCCCCGCATCCCTGCGCGCATAACCAGAACTCACAGCTTGAACACCTTGGGCGCATAACGCGTCTGGATACTGTACCCCTCGGTCTGCCTCGTATCACCCGCGATGACCGAGAAGTCCTTCCCAGCGATAGCAAGTATCGTACCGCCGTTCTCGGCATAAGGGTTAAATTGGTGCTGGATAGGCCGGTGCTGGTCGGCGTAGAGAGGTTGGGCGAGGGCCATTGCTTTTGACGTGAGGAGTGGATGTATGCGCTTGAGGGATGTTGAGCTAGGGGGAACGCGTACGCCTTCAAGTTCAGGCACCGCGCTAGGCGGAGGCAAATGGGACTCTCTGCTGAGTACCATATTTACCGTCACACTAGTACTAATCCTGAATTGTGAATATTAGTAGGAGGATATAAGACGACAAAGATGAAGAGATAACATCTCTTGTCAGAATAATGTTACTCGAATTGAGGGGTATCCAGTTCAGCTTCAGCTAGTGCAGAGTCGCAGCATCTCATTAGCTGCAGGGGAGATTCTGAGACACGACTCGGAACTGTCTTTTTTTCCACATTGACAATATAATAGTTTGAAACGCCTCAATTCCAATTGAAATACTAGCACTGACGCGATGTGCATTCCTCAAACACGATCCTTTTGCACCCCACTACAGGAGACTCGTGGCTATTCCCGCGTCTTTGTGGGAAAACGGAGGAAGCTTCCTGGTGTGTAAGAGGCCGTCGCCTCAATCCAATGCATTCATGTATATACGTTTGACAAATGTATGGGGTTGGGAGAAACATGCAAGACGGGGTTGTGCAACACGCTGATGCACTGTGTATCAGTGTAATAGTCAGGTATTGGCTAGTCAAGTAGCACGGGCAAGGCGCCGCGATTAGAGAAGGTTCTTGAGCTTATCGGTGATCGACGACAGGTCATGATCCTCCTCCGCCTTCTTAGCGTCCACGCCGGCCTTCGCTAGGTCTTCCTCAGACTTGTGCGAGACAGAGACCTGAATAACAAGGGAAGCGGTCGAGGTCGCCCGTTGCCTATTCCGTTCATGATACCGATCTGAGAACCTGCGGTAACGTTCAGTAAAATATCGGACGATACCCGGAGAAGCACAGACCTTCGCGGCATCTCCCCGTTCAAGCCAATCGGGTCGAACCCGCGCTTCTGAGCTTCTGAGCATATCGCGAATACCTGGTTGCGCTGGGCCAGGACGGCGGGGGGAACACGGGAGAAGGACATAGATTTTTTTGGGTCGAGCTGCGCCATCGTAGGTTCGTCAGCGAGCTTCGCATTCAGTGCAAGGGCGGCCTCGAGGTTGGTGGGAGCCACGGTCTGCGGAGTCTCCGACACCTTCTGGATAAAGTCTAAAAATGCATTAGTCACACCGTCCGCATATCGCCGGATGTACCATGCTTCGGAAGGTGCACCGTCTGCCGGAAGCAACGTGAGTATTTCAGACATTCATTGATGAATGATCCCGACCTGGCAAAATGTGCTTCTGACAACCACCAGGAACCCCTGTGAGGCGGTTTGCAAATGCTTCGGCCTCGGCAACGGTATCAACCAAGTTATCAGCCTTGGGGAAATACATTCAGTCAGGGCCTCGTGCGCCGCACGGAAGCCGACATACCGCGTAGAGCAACACAGGGACTCTGACGAGGTCGGCTTCTTCATCAGTCAGAGGAATGCGCTACAAAGAACGCGGATCAGATCCTCGTCCCCGAACGTGCCCCAATTACGGCACCTGAACGATACCAGGATCCGGACTCACGTTGCCAAATATCGCATTACCGAACTCCATGCCGCGGCATAACCTTGTCGGTGGATACTGAGTCTCCAGATACGCAGCAAAGTCGTCCTTTTGATCTTCGTCCAAGTGCTGCGGGCCGTTTGTCAGCACAAGGTGACAATAGAGTGGGAGTCGGAATCGGCACTTACCTCACCGAACAGATAGGGAAACACTTCCACCAGGTAGTCTTCCATGGTCTCTATGTCCTTGGAAGTCGCCAACAAGGTAAGAAGCTCCTTGCATATCTCCTCCAGTTGCATCATACTATACGTTCCCGTCAGCAAATTCGAATGTGGCTCCAATTCGTACCTACATCTCGTCGCGCGGACGCTCTATCGGTCCAGCCGCAATACTGAGCAGTCTTCCAGGGAAGAGAATTGCAGCCCGGAGCGTGTTGTGATAGGTATACCAGGTTCCAGCAAAAAGATGCACGTGCCGCAGACCGAGCTTGTCAAGCAGTTTAACGAGCTCCACACCGTCGGTCCATGCGTCACGACCCGGCTCGGGCTCGCTAATCGTCTGCCCCTGTGCACGGCCATCCAAAGCAATAAGATTGTAGTTTTTGGAAAGTCTAGGATCTTTGAGTTGGTTAACGAAGGAGGACGAGTCAAAAATGGCGCCTTTTGGCCGAGTCAGACCATTCCACGACAGGGATAGGGAGCAATGGTTGTGACCCACCGAGGGTGAAAACGATTGTCTGTTTGGTTTTGTCGAGGCCCTTTATTGAGCCATCTCCAGGGAGGTTGCTGCGGTAGAAGTAGGATACACCATCCTCTGGCAGATCGACAAAAGGCATGGGGGTTTAGAGTTCAGTAGATATGACCAGAGCACCAGAGGGACGATCGACACAGGATCGGGGAGATGAAAGGAGAGATGACGAAATGACCCGCGCAGCCCGCGCAAGATATAAGACAGGGGGAGGAGGACCGGGGCAAAGGACGGAGAAGGGAAACGGGGGAAAATAAAAAGAGGAAACGAGTTTGGCCCGGTGGGAAGGCAGGGTCGCGGCCTGCCATAAGTCAGCCGCTCATTTCATGATTTCGGCGCCAGAGAAGGCGGGTCGGTGGGAAAACAGGCAGTGCGACCCTAATAGGCCCTTCCCTCTCTCTCTGATATGCGCTGCTGTGGGAATCGATAATTCATTGATGGATATTGAGATTTTGACGGGCACTGGATGTGCCACGAGATCTTGTGTCGGCAACAACAATTGTGAATCAGAATGGAATGCCGCTATGGAGAAATTTTGGTGGAAGACCCTGGGAGTAAATGTGGTTCGCCGCCATTGAATTGAATGCGCCTACGACGGAGATAAGGGTGCACGGGAAATGCCTTATGTGACTTAGTGTCGTGCGGATGTTCTTGCCGGGATAAGATGAAGAGCGTTTGCATGAGCTTCTGGCGGGAGATGTTGTCAGAATTTGCCGCTCATGAATTGGTGTGATATGTATGTTGGATATTCCATGCCAACGATGAATCTTCTAGAAATGTCGAGCGGGGAGGGGCATCATCGTGTGGGAAAGTGAAGTGTTAGAGTGGTCGGCAACGCTGGGTGGCCTTGTTGCATGCTTGCAAAGGTCAAGGGGATAGGTGGACGGTTCAACGTTCGCCCTCCTTTTCCTTTGTGTGTGGATGCCTCCTTATATGACGCGATCGATATGTGGTAATCTGTCTCCATCGGGGGCTGTGTAGCGGAAGCAAGTTTGGCCTGTTTTCGACGGTCGTCACACAACGGCACATTGCGGTCCTCCTCGACCCTTCCTTGCTCTTCATCTACCAACGCCAACTTCAGCGCGTCTATACCGTCTAGTACATCTACCGTCGCCGTCGCGCATCTTGCGTTCCTTATTCTTTATTTTCTATCAAGACAGCAACACAGCGGCGACAAGATGGTCCAACCCACCCGGCCAGCACAGCTCATTGCTTCCTTACTCCTCTTATTGTCCGCTGCAACGGCCCAGGACGTCCAATACGATGACATCCATAACATTACAGACTTGGAGGGGACGTGGGCCTCTGGATCAGGTCACGTTCAGACTGGAATCGTACGTTCAACGCGTAGCTGGATGGTTATCGTGAACTGATTGGTTTTCTCAGAACTTCGCCAACCCTGTAACCGCGACGTTTAACGCTCCTACAACATCTGGTATCTCATACTCCTTGTATGTTTACTACGTTCTTGTGTCGCTATTGTCGCTTATCTTCTCTACAGCACGGACGATGGTTACTTCGAGGAGGCGCAGTACCGTTTTGGCTCCAATGGTTCGTCGTCCGGTCATTAGATTATCAAACCCTGACCATCTGCGTAGGATCAATGCCAAACTGCATCACCGCCGTGCTCATATACCAACATGGCACCTACGAGCTCATTCCAAACGGATCGATGATACTTACCCCGTTCGGCTCAGACGGTCGCATGCAAGTGCAAGACGCGTGCGGAGCTGTTACCAACCAGATCATGCTCTACAACACTACCGAGCTGATGCTGCAGTGGCGGATCTTTGCTGGACCGACACTACAGCTGTACCAGTTCGATGGCAGCATGCTTCCGCCCATGGCACTCTACTACAAACCGCCTAACATGCTCCCCACGTACCCGCTTACCAACTTCTCCGACCCCAACATCAGCGGTGAGGGTGTCCCCCTTCCCGTTATCCATCGCCGTTCGCACATTTTCGAACCGCTCCAGGAGAGGCATTTCGAGGAGGAGCACATCACCGTCAAGCGCAGTGGTGCCATTCGCTTGAGGGGTGATGCGCTGGCGCTGGTTACTGGTACACTTGTTGTCATTGCTGGTGCAGCGATGATGATATGAGTATTTATAGATACCTGGTAATCGTTCTGGTTCATGGACTTTCCGAACTTTCCCCTGTTCATCTTGCATCTTTACACTTTATCGCGTACTAGTCTTATGTTGCCTGCAACAGCATCATGTATGAAAGTCACTTCGCTCAAATGGATGGACATTCACGCCCGACTTCCGCATAGGCAAATGTATTGCCGCAGCATGGGCAAAAACAACCCAACGCCATTCATCTGACCGAATTCATGCTTTGGGGATAATTATGCATTTTCACCGTGCTATACACAGCGGCCCCTAGGTTTTGTACGCTTCTCTCCCTGCACTCCTTGGCGGCTAGTGGTGCTTGTTCTTGTGATGCCCTACAAATGCTGTCAGCAAACGCTGGAGAAGAGATCGGAACAAATCCATACTGAGATGCACTAGAAAGAAGGATATCAGCATCACGCACACCCACGTCAACAGCCTCACTCACTGAAGTAATCCAAAGAGTACCCAAGGAGCATCAAGCTCAGAATCGTGCCATAAATCGGCGCTGCGCTCGCATTCTTCCCATCCCAGTAACGAGCCTTAATACCCGTGCTCATGGGCGGGGCGGGGCCTTTGGGCAGCTTGCTGTAGAAATCGACGACACCGCTCATCTGGGCACCGACGGAGCCGCCCGTCTGTGCGCTTTTCAGACCTGCACCTGGCCGATGGGGGGAAAGAGGGACGTACGACAGAGTGAGGAGAGGCGATCTTTGGAGGGATGAGCCCTTCGAGGGCACGGCGGATGAGCGTGGTGCGCATTGGTGAGCAGGGAGGAGGAGGAGGAGGAGGGGACGGAGTAGGGCGCTGTGGGTGATGACGGGAAGAGCAAGAGGGACGGGTACAATTGGACGGCATCGGAGGGAAATGCCTCCGATCGGCTCCGTGCCTTGGACTGCAACTCTTGCTTCTCGACCACCCTCAACAACAAGCAATAAGGAAGATCAATGGAAACTCAAGGGAAATATCGACTGATGATTATACTAGTATCCTTACTAAATATGGTGCACTTCGAATGGAACTTGACTTCATATCAGCTTGCGGTACTCAACGTCCTCTGGCTCTCATCAGGTCTAGCTGGGGTCTTAGCCATGGAACTCGCAAAGGCAATTTGATCATAAGCTCTTGGATTGCGGCGATATGCGATTCCGTATTGATTCTGATAGCTCTCTACCGGCGACAGATCCTCTTGGAGAGAGAATAATCCGCGGATGGGTCCAATCTGCCTCTTGTTTATTTTAGGGACTCTTCATACCAAGCCGGCTATTAACCGTACAAGTGCATCTCGCCCTCACCTGCCTCTAGCCTGCATTCTATGGTATGGGATGTACCAATTTGTCTTCTCATCTTGTGGTTCTCTTCGAATGGTGTGCTCCTCACTTCACCGCACCTATGGGCACGCACAATCCTTCATTGTCATACATTTGGAAGATGCGGATAATGGCCCATTCCCCCGATATGAACGAGGCCGTCTCCACTACGAACCTTGTTTCCATATTTTATCCGAACATCCGCGGGCACTAGGAGTTGCCTCATCCCCTGGCGCGGAGCAACCAAGGCGCAAGAGATGACGTGCCTGCTTGTGACCTCATCACGTCGACATGGCCAAGTCTCCTCAAAGCACCATATTCTGGATGATCTAACAATCCGAATCTGCGACTGCGTCTGCGAAAGGAAACCGTTCCTTCAGTGGGTGGGATTCTGCTACCCTTTGCCTCTAAATAACAACCGATGATGATTCCTTATGCAACCCCAGGTTTCCTAGGGAATTAACCGTTCTGATACGGTGCGGCTGTCTCCCTGCACATGGAACGTCGCTTCTTGTGGTGTAAGTCTTGTGACTACTATCCTTGTCACCGTGGCTCTAAGGCTGCTACCCTGGAGTGCCTGCTGCGATTCTGGAATATTTTCTTTCCCGTCGCGGAATACCGGACGGAATGCTTCTAGGGACGAAGCTGAATCAACTAGAAGATCAACTTCGGAGACTATCCGCGAACACATGTGGAGCTAGCATTTCCATCTCGATGGTCAGAGCTGCGAGTATGTGTCCCGTATTATTGCAACTTTATCGGGTGCTCTGCGGCTTGGTTTTCCGCAACACGGTTGCGAAGAGAAATAGAGGACGTCAACTTATCGTAATCGTCCTATCTTCTCAAATAGCCGATAGAATGGAATATAATTCTTCATTCACGATAGATGCGATCCATGCGCCATCAAGTCCGAGGCGGAAGCATTCCCTCCCAAAAGAAGAAGCAAGTTGTGCTGGCAAGCGCCCTTTCCGCCTGACCTACAACGCCCCTCCTGCCAACACCCACCCCATTAATCCCCTTCAATTCCTCTCCTGACATCGAGCGTACGGATACATCCAAGTTTTATATTGACCGTGACTCCGTTAGGAAACCGCCTCTCCATTATACCTGGACATTTTCCGACTGTGGCGTTCCGAGAGCCAATTCCGCTCGGGGGCCGAGATGCTTTCCGAGAGTCGCCTATCTTGTGACATAAACACATTTTACTTCGGCCCAGTTCTCTATGCCTCAGTGCTGAAATGGTCTGATCTCGGACTTCGGAAATCCACGCCAAGACACAAGACAGGGCTGTGTTCTTTTGTGACGGGCCATGAGCGAATTCTTGGCAGCTAAGGGGGAATGTCAAGTGCTCCGTACTCTGACCCACCCGCCTCATAATCTGCCGCATGTCGTTGGTCTAGCTGCTTCCTCTTGATCCGCCCTCATCTACGAGGTATGTCCTATCACCTGCTGCCTGCTTCCCCTAGGGAATCTGGCGACTCCGACTCATCCCTCGACGAGGACCTGCCGGTGAAAGAGGACACCAATGGGCCTGAAACACTGTCGACCGTCCAAGTTCGTCTGATCTTGGTCCAACTGTACACAATCGTCATCTTCTACGGTATGGACTCAACGATAGTAGCAACCCTCGCTACGCCGATATCCAGTGCCTTTGGCGAGCTACATCGTGCTGCGTGGCTGAACAACGCCTACCTGCTGACGGTCGCGTGCTGTGCTCCACTCTATGGTAGACTATCGGATATCATCGGCCGACGGAAAGCGCTAGGTATCGGCTTGGCCGTTTTCATTCTTGGCAACGCCCTTTGCGGCGCAGCGGGGAATATGAACGTTCTTATTTTGGCCCGACTTTTGCAGGGGGCGGGGGGCGGCGGGGCGGGACTGGTCGCCACTATCGTCATATCGGATATCACGCCGCTGAGGGATAGGGGGTTGCTGAAGGGTGTGAGTGCTGTGTGCTGGGCGAGTGGCCAAGGGCTAGGAGGTGTCTTCGGGGGGTTGATCGCCGATGCTGTAGGATGGAGATGGGCCTTCCTATGTATGTGGAACATCGGATCCGTTCTCGCCTCGCACTGACAATAGGCAGTCCAATTGCCTGTCCTTCTGTCGATATTCTGCGGACTGATGAACATGATATCTTATGATCTGGGATATCAACGTCCTGCCGATGCGTCGCTGAGACGGAGATTGGACTGGAACGGCTCCGTACTGTTCTTCATTGGTGTACGTCCTTCCCGTCCTGCACCACTTATAGCTGATGCTCTGCAGATCGGGTCCTTAGTGTTCTCCATAGCATATAAGACAAACGAAGACCTGTCGTGGTCCCACCCGCTAGTAGCGCTCACGCTTCTCCTCTCCATCCTAGCCAGCGGGCTGTTCGTCTACATAGAGCTGCAGACGGACGAGCCGGTACTAGACCTGCGCCTGCTTGGTAACCCCAGCCTGGCATGTATCGGGGGCACGTCCTTCCTCTCGAGCGCAGCGACTGTCTGTAAGCGCCCGTGCCCTGTCCCTGTGTTTCTTATCTGATAACAATAGCCGTGGGGTTGTACTTCCCTATGCTGCTCCAGATTGTTAGAGGGAACAGTGCGAGCAGCGCAGGGATGCATCTTGTTCCGAACACGATTTCCACTGCCTGTGGGGGGATCGTCTCCGGCCTAGTGAGCAACGCCCTGCCTACACGACACTTCTAACGAAACTAATCCTGCGCAGTACATCCGCAAGACGGGGAGATACTACAAGCTCATCCTCTTCCTCGCCTTTCTCCAGCTGCTCGCCTGCTTATCCCTAGCATCTCTCAACAGGACCACGTGGGAACCTGCGACATGGCTCGTCCTCCTCCCCCTCGGATTCAGCACAAACGGGTACAACGGGTCGACTTTCAGTCCGTCTCCTCTCCCCTATACATGTAGCGCTTGACACGAGTGCCTGACCGTGTTGCCTAGTCGCCTTACTTAATGCGGTCGACGCCAAGGACTTGGCCGTCGTGACGTCCATGGCATTCATGTTCCGATCCTGCGGTACGTCTCCCCCCCTCCCTCCTTTCCCACCTCTGGAGAGAGCAGTACCTAAGGAGCAGCAGGTCAAGTACTCGGGATGGCTTTCTCCTCCGCTGTTCAGCAAACAACCTTATCCGTCAGCCTCGCCCACAGACTTCCAGCGTCAATCGCCCCCCAGGTAACCCTTCCCCCCTTCCGACCTGCCCTGCAAAACCTCGCTCATGCATTTGTATCCAGATAATGGCAGAAGTGAGGAAGAACGCCGCCTCTATTCTCTCCCTCCCCCCGGAGCCTAGGGATGCGTGCATATCCGCGTACAGTACCTCCCTGCACGTAGTTTTCCTCACCAGTGCGGGATTGCTAGTGGGAGCAGGGGCGCTGGCCGCACTTGTATGTCCTTTGATTTCTTGGGCGGTTGGGTGTTTCGGTTGCTGATGAAAGTAGATTAGGGAACGGGAGATCGAGGGTGGGCGCACTGAGAAGGGGGAGGACGAGAGAGGGGATAAAGATTAGGAGTAGGAGTAAGCGTTGGTTATGACTAATGAACAACTTCCTGCATGGCTGAGAAGATCGGTACGGTTCATTTGAGTGAGAGAGGAGTATGCCCTCCCTATGCAGAGTAAGAATAGGAAGGTACTAGAAGGGGGAGGATTTGAATACTCACCTGAGGTGTGTCGTGTGGCAAGACGAGTACCGAGCAAAGTCCCCAAGACCAGAGAACTCTTCAGAGCTATCGAAGATATGCAAACACCAAGAAGACAATGGGGTATCTTGCAGCTACTCAAATGAACTCAAGTGGGCATCCGGACTTCCTGCAGCGGTGCAGACACCATCAAACTCGGGTTGTCATTTTCGAGCACTGAGAAAGCATCTCGGAATGTTGGGATGTTGGTCCTGTTAGCGGCAGGTGGCAGCCGCACTCTCGTCGTTATTCTACTGTTTCTGATGCTGTACTCATTATTGTTACTGATGTAGGAGCTCTGATGGCCCTGACCACAGCTACATGTAGATTGCCACCTATCAGCTGCCACCTGCCGCTTACGCGCTGGCATCCGAGACCGCCGACCGCCGATGGTCAATTCCACCTCCCGATAGGGATAGGTCTACGGACGGCTAGAGTCCAGGGATTATATTATGCTATGCGAGGTTAGGTTATGTCCTCTCGGCAGATGGAAGATAGGTCACAGGTGGCAGGTAGCTGATGACGCATTGCACTGCTTCTTTTCCTTCGTTTCCCAGAATGGACTAGCTGGCGCTGCTGTATACGGGCCATCTAGCCAAACGACAAGAAAGTTCACACCTCCACCGTCTCGGAAATCCAGGCCTTGTTCCGCACAAGTGATCCAGCTTTAGGGAAAAGAGTTTAGGAGATGAGAGCCGAGAGGGGAGATGTCGTTACCTAATGCGTGGGATAAGGGGCAAGATGGTCACGGTCGTGTTTTGCCCTGGATACGAGTGGACGTTGGTGGATAGCATGACGTGACTGATTGGATGATCGAGCCACGAGGTTCCACATCCTTGCTGTTGGTGCCCTCATTCTTCAACATCAACAGATTCAAAGGGAATGACGTACCTTTTATTCCCTCAAAAACGACTGTTGTATTGGACATCGGCTTGTGAAAGGTTGTTCCCTGTACGTATACACTGTAGGCCGATCCGATGTCCGTACAAATCTTGGTGGCTGGGCTCGTACCATCCCCTTTAGCCAGTCCACTAGCGGTAAGAGATTTTCCAGTCCGGTGTGAGGAGGCGTATATCACATCATATCACATCAGATCGTATCACATCAGATCAGGTCAGGATGCTCCAGTTGCATGCGGTTAGAGGGGCCAAGCAGCCAATGCCGCGGGAGGACCTGGACGGGTATAGGCAAGTGATGACCAAATCCGATCTGATTGCGTGTACTGAGAGCTGGCGTTCATGCATGTGTTGATACTGATCCGCGAAGTTTTGAGAAAGCGCTTCTTTGGGAATTGGAGGCGGCTTCTTCTGTGCATGGTGGGTGATGATCGAGCGCCTAGAGAAGGGGATCACGCGTTGTCAAAGTTGGAGACCCTGGACGACGGTTCACAGGGTACGAAGGCAAGGAAAGGGAAAGGGTGCACGGCTCGTCGGTGGTTGGACAAGGTGTGATAAAGATGTATAAGTGATTGGCACTGCCTGCTTCTCCTAGTCCGTGCGGCCCCGAGGTTGTCCCCTTAGTCTGAGGATGAGGATGAGCCATTGTCCTGTCGTTGCCGTCACTTGTGTACGTTGACTGGCTGCCGATTGGATCATCCTGGTCCACAAGTCCTGCCGGGGCGAGAAAGATCCGAGTGTGGAAGATCAACTTCACAGGAAGGTAGGTGCAGGAGCTAGAAGCTCTCCCGGTAGTTGCTACATAATCGGTGAGGTGGCTTGCTCCCCAAGTACTCTTGCTAGTAAAACGACGTCATGTTAGAGCCGAGCGTCTGGCGTCTGGTATCCTTCCACACTATTATGCGATATTATGGGAAAATATGGACCGGTGCGCGAGGTGGGAGGTGGGAAGCGAGCGCCAGAAGAAGAAGAAGCAGAGGCGGAAAAAAAACGACGCCGTCACTTCGGTAAGGGATACTTCTTGTTCCGAAGCCGAATGGATGAGTGCATGGTGATTATGTAATCCCTGTGAGGGTTTTTCCGATAACTCTGCGCAGCCGTGAGCGCTCTCCGTTGCAGGGTTCGAGCGCCCGAAAAAAAAGAAAATTATTTGCGCGCTAACTGTATTTCCTTGCCTTATGCCTTATGCCGGCGCACGCTCTCTCCGGTGTAACAACCTGTCATTAATCATCTCCGGTGGAGCGTTGTATGTGTGGACAGGTGAGTAGTGATGGACAACGGACGCGCTTGGTTACATTTTTCCTATTTTTCCGTTTTATCATTTCATCATTCCATGCATCGGCAGGTCAGGGCGACATGACAACGCACATTAGCACATTACACATGCATATGAGAGAAAATAAACCGGAGCTACCCTGCGCAGCTAGGCGCTACCCGGCCCGGTGCTTTGGGGGATCGATGTACGGGGCTTGGTAGGTGGGGAGGAGGGGGAGCGTGTGAACCCAGACTTCCCGCGCGAGCGCTTGTTGCGTGCTAGTGCATATGGGGGATTGATCGGTCTATCAGGAGATGAGGCTTTCAGCTGCAAGAGGAGGGGATGTGGGTTGTGGTAACCGGGATAGGGACGAACTAGGATGTGAGGTATGATGGGAAGTTCCTGGTCTTGCTGACTGCTTGCCAGCCTCCTAGTAGTGCTGCAGTATTACTCCATTGGCATGCCTCCCGAGTCGGGAGGCGAGTCGTTCCGAAGTGAGGCGGATTGGCGCGTGCTCCTGCTCCCAGCTTCGATTCTGAGCACTGCAAGGGGGAAGAGGGGGGCAGGAAGCGACCGCACTGGGCATGGAGTTATGAACTGCGAGAAGCACTTAGATTCGGGGAAATTCTTCGATGAGAGGGTATATCTGACCTCTGAACGCACGGTGTTTGATGCTCAACCCCCGTTGGACGCCACACTGCACTACACACCACCGTACGCCTCAGGCACTGATCGTTTTGGTGGATGAACGGTGTAATTTCCTATTCGTGTTCGAACTCGTACCCACAAGTGTATTCGTACCCTTACCACGTTCCACACACATACGGTGTAGGGATGGCGGAATGGGATGAATGGGGTATCGAGCAGCTGGCATGGCAGATCCAGATACAAATGCAAGGAGGAGGAGGAGAAGGAAATGTGGGGGCACCGCCCTCTGCTGCTGACAACCTCACCGGGGAGGGTCCGGCGCAACTGCCTTCCTCGAGCAATTCAAACTTGAACGGCGTCTTCACTTTCGACTCGTATTCGCAGATGCAGCATCAGTATGACCAGGCGCAGGTATTTGGTTTACAAAAGCAACAGCAACAGCAGCAACAACAGCAGTCGCAGCCATTCAATTTCGACCCAAGGTTCACCTTTACGCCAACGGCAACACCAAGTAATTGCAACTCGACAACCCAAACACCGGCGCTAACATTTACCTCGACATGTTATCAACGACACAGTCATGGACAAGGCAAAGTCACTTACCCAAGTGCATCACCTTCCACTTCAGGCACTTCCGAATCTGTGTCACCAGTACACGTCCTCTCTAGTATCTCGCCTCCACCAGGATCGACATCAGCACCCTCCTCCTCACCCTCCGTCCACCACCACTCTGATCCGGCAGACGATCCCTTCTCCCCCCCGCGTATCCCCATCGCCTGCTCGATCTGCCGCCGACGGAAGACGAAATGCGATGGTACGCGACCCAACTGCGGGAACTGTGTACGCCGGGGTGACGTGTGCGAGTACGAGCTAGTGCAGAAGCGTCGTGGGCCGGATAGGAAGCCGGGGACGAGAGTCAGGTCGGTGTTTAGCAAGAGACTTGTGCTGGAGGCTGGGGGTGTGCTGCCTGTTGTTCAGAAGAAGAGGAAGAGGGAGGGTGAGGAGGAGAATCGGGATGTGACAGTGAGGAGAGGCCGTTCTGGGTTTAGTGACGTTAGTTCTAAAAGGAAGAATATCAAGTTAGAGGTGGGTTGATTGGGTAGGCAGGGAGACGATGCTGACGTTCGTATGGTGCAGTACGAAGAGCCCCCCTCGCCTATGCCTTTCCCCGCTACGGAGTTCTCCCAGCAATCGTTCGCGGACATCCTCCACCCTGCAGCGTACATCACCGAGTTACTAGACGAGGGGTGGTCGAAGATCCGTGAGGAGATAGAAGCAGAGGCAGAGAAAAGAGTAGGAGAGGCAGAGGCAGAGATCATCCGCCAACCCAGCGTCGACTTTGCTCGCAAGACGTGGTGGGACTGTCTGCTGGACATGTACGCCAGCAATAGGGAGACATCGTGGGCCACCTACCGTCCTTAAAGGACGATGACTAGCGAACTAATGGGATAAAACAGGTACAAGCAAATCCAGAGGGACATTGCCTACGTGTTCAACTTTTCGCCCTACTTCATCTCCTACTTCAATGTCCCTCTCTTCTGGTCAACCTTCCATTCACCCAAACAGAGAGACACCCTCCAGCCCTCGCTCATCATATCCTTCCTAGCGCTGGCGACGTTCATGCGTTCATCGGAACTCGGCGCAGGGCTCACAGGGCGCCAACGCGCACTCCAGATGGCCGAGATAGCCAGAGCCCACCACCAGTCCTCCATCGACGCAGGGTGGATCGACGCCGGCATCGCCCAAGCAGCATTCATGCTCACGCTATTCGAGATGTGCCCGCACCCGGCGTACACAGCGCACAGGCTCACCAGCAGCTTTTGGGTCCTCGATGGCGTACTCACCGCTCTTGGCTGGCCGAGCATGGATGCACCCGATAGCGATGCGGCGGTGTTCATCCCCGGCATGGTACCTTCCGTCAAATCCTCACTTGGAGAACCCACGCAGACCAAGCTCGTTCCCTCTTCCCCGGCAGCAGGAACAGGCTGCTCGTGCATGCGCGTCTCCCTTATCGCCTACTCCGAGCGGGCAGCAAACATCACCCCTCTCTGGGCAGCCACGCCTGCCTGGGATCCGGACTGGACCGAGCTCGAAATACGGCGAGAAGAAGCTCGTCGACTCGTGTGGAACTCACTCAACCTCATGTCGGGGCATACGAGTCTCACGCTCGCTGCTGGCGAAATGGCTGCAGACTACGCCTGCACGCGGCCGGAAAACTACGCACTGCTTTTCCCTGGGGAAACGCTACTCCGCTCGCCGGCCTGGAAGGGGAGGGAGACCCAGCATCCGAGGGACTCGGTCTGGGGCGTTTATGCCCGCCTGGCACTGTTGTACGGCGCGTGCTGGCGCTACTTTGAACACGATGCGTCTTCTCCCCCGCAGACTATGGCTCGGAGGCCCGCGTTGTGGTCCGGCGTACCTGCGCTGGGTAGCCTGGTCCAGAGGACTGAGAGCGACAAGGCACAGTTTGCGTATCGCGCGTATGTGGAGACGCTTGTCCTTGAGGACATCCTGGACCGGCATGGGTGTATGGGGGAGGGGTCCACACTATTCCAAGGCAGAGAGTTCCTCTTCAAGATACGCGTCATCATTAGCCAGGGGTTTACAAAGCATTTCCCCTTTCCGGAGACGTGAGTCTGTCGTTGTTCACTCAGACGATCGCTGACATTTGGCAGGGAAATCAACCTGGCGTTCCATAAGCGCAAAGCCGAGCAGTGGCTTCGCCACCAGATGAACCTCGCCCAGCGGCTCATGCAAGGTCTCAACTCCGTAACGGGGATGCACGCGTCTGACCTCCGACTCCGGCCTTTCCTCCTTTGGTACTTCGCCCTCCAGAGCCAGCGCTGTCTACAGTTTCACACCACCGACCCCTCCCTCACTGTTGCCCTCGACGTGGCAGACGCGTGGATGATGCCTGTGGACTATTTGACCCAAATATGGCCTTGTGCGAACCTGGACCCGTTCTTTGAAGATCTGAGGTCCAAGATCCTTCGGGCGAGGCTTGCAGCGGGAATGCCGCCTTTCCTTCCTCGAGGAAAGCCGATCGAGTTCGTAAACCCGCTCCTGTCTGAGCCGTCCGCTGCTACCTCCGCGACCTGGTCATGAAAGCTTCTGTACTCTGTCTGTTTTGCTCTATGAGCAGCCTCTCCCTCGGGTGTGGATGTCATCATCCTGTAACATCATAACACATAATTTCATGTTTGCATCCTCCTTGTCTGGTTCTTTCCATGTCTTGTCTCTAATCAGATTTGCAAATCGGAATGTACGAATATATTGCTGATGATGGTTGCCATGTTCGACGCGTCTGTTTTTCATTACGACGCGTCCCTGAGAACCGTAATAAAAGCGGACTGAGCGCGGACTTGTCTTCCTCACCCCGTCTAATCACTTCCCCACCGTTCTCACACCTACACCTCTCTGCATTTGCATACCTTTCGCGAGATACCCATGTCCGCTGCTGCCTCATTATTTGAAGACAACTCGCCTCCTACACCTGAGCCGGAAGACGCCTGCACTGAAGAAAATTCTGCACCAAAGTCATCCATCCTCGACGGCGCGATCTACTTCGATGACCCGCTGCCCTCTCTAGCGCCAACGATGCAAGCTTCCAATGTTGTCAAGACTGTAGCCAAGACGGCTGTGAAGGTCACAGAGACGAAGACTCATACTCTTACTGCTCCTGCGGCTGTTGTTGCTGGAGAAGGCCTGAAACGACAGAGGAGCTTGATGGACATGTTTGGCGGGACGGCGAAGCGTGCTAAAGTGGATGGTGCTGGTGCTGCTACGGTGGTTCACAAGCGCGTCATATCGTCTTCGAATGGTGTCAATACGCTCAACTCGATCCCGTTCTCGTTGAGTGCTTATAAAGCGAGCTTGTCCCCGGAGGAGAAGAAGTATCTTTCTCTCGAATGCGAGACTATGGGCCTCACTTGGTGCGCGTTGTGTTCTTCTTTCGAGGGTTGAGTTACTGACAACCGTCAAGGCTTAAGGTGTTGAAAGACGAGATCCGCAAGCCCTACTTCCTCGGGCTCAAGCACTTCCTTGAAACCGAAGGAGTCATGAGCCCCGACGTCAAGTCCACCAAGGTCTTCCCCCAAGGTTCGTAGCACCCTTCACATTTGCGCACTGTCCTGTCCTGACACAATACGCTAGCAAAGGACATATACTCGTGGTCGCGCTATACACCCCTTGGCAAGGTGCGGGTGGTAATCATCGGCCAGGATCCATACCACAACGTTGGGCAGGCGCACGGCCTTTGCTTCTCCGTCCCCCCGGGAGTCACTCTACCGGGATCGCTGAAAAACGTTTGTTTTCTTGCTCTGGGCGATAAGTTTCAGATAACTCATCAGATACGTAGATCTACGCGGAAATCGCCTCTTCATACCCTTCGTTCGACCCACCAAAACATGGTTACCTCCTCTCTTGGGCGCGATCAGGCGTACTCCTCCTCAACACGTCCCTAACAGTGCGCGCTCACATGGCAGGGTCGCACGCCCTCAAAGGCTGGGAGACATTCGTAGGCGAGGTGATCAAGGCTGTCGACCAGTGGGGAGGAGCGAATATCGGAAATGCGGGAGGCAAAGGAAGAGGAGTGGTCTTTATGGCCTGGGGACAATGGGCACAGAAGAGAGTTGCTGGACTAGACAAGAAGAAGCACTGTATCCTGACCTCTGCGGTATGCCTTTCTTTTGTCTTACAAGAGCAAGGGTGACTCTATGTGCTGCCAGCATCCTTCGCCCCTCTCGGCGCATCGCGGTTTCCTCGGCAATGGTCATTTCCTGAAAGCGAACCAGTGGCTCCAGGAACGGTACGGCTCTGCGGGTCAAGTCGACTGGTGTAACCTCTCTATTGACGGGGAGCCGGCACAGGGGGAACTTGCTCCCTCTGCATCACAGGAGGAACCCCTTCCTCCTGCTTCACAGGAAGGGGGAGAAGTGGTTGAAGAGGATTCTACTAAGGCGTGAAGTGCCTGGGATGTTGAGGGATGCCTGTTTTGTATCATACGCTTGAGGGTTTTCTGTGTGTTTTGTATCATATACACCTCGTTGACTGAACTGTTCTAAGAACAGTGGCACCACAGTCCACTCACCACCATCCTTTTACTCTCTGTCGGAGGCTCGAAACGCTCAACTTGATCCTGTCGTGCCCAGGTTGTTGTACATTCCTAGGCTTCAACTCGCAAAAACAGTTGGGAATTGTGGGTCTCCGACATTCGGCAGTTTGATCCACCGTCCTTCCTCCTTCCAATCCCACCTGTATCCTCCGCACTCTAGCACTTCAACCTCTCTAGCAAGCTCTTTCTCAAGCGCGTATTGCTCTGAAGGTGTGGCGGGCATGTCGATCGCTGCAGGTGGTGGCCAATTGCCCATACGTATTCGAGTAAGAGGGATCCCAGAGGACCGACGACGAGACGCAATGGTTGTCAGCAATCGGATATGACTTGGCGTCGCCCACCAGAGAGACTCTATCGTTTGTAGTTTGGGACAAAGGACTAGGGATGATACCCCGACCACAGATGTGATGTTTCCCCGTAAGGGTTGAAGACATGGCATCCCCAGCCTGCGCAGAGGTGCGACGCATTCTTCCTCCTCAAAGGGGCTCCAGTGACCAGCAGAGACGAGTGTCAAAACCTCCAGACCGGGTGTGACTCGGAGTATTCGGTCGAAACCTCTCAGTATTCCACCTTGGACCGAGAGCGTCTTTAGGGGGGAAGGCGCACCGTCTGGGCCAGACGAGGCAGTGATAAACTCAACGAGGTCGTCAACGTAAGCGTCTTGTTCGTCATGAGCATCAAAGGGGGAGAAAACAGATAAAGAAAGACTCTCGATCTTGGGAGCCGTAAGTCTTCCGAGTGTGTGACCGTGACGCCCAACGCATGTTGATTTGAATGTGAGGCTGCGCAATTCTGGGAGCGGCATGCGTGGCAAGTGAAATCCAGGCTCAGCCCCAGCCTGGTCTTGATGCTGAGGATATACCACGAGATGTAGTCTTTGGAGCTGGGGAGCACACTTGAGCAGTGCAATCAGGCGTGATGGAGTGTACTGCATCTGCGGGTTGAGTTCTAGATGAAGACGGCGACATTGGAGGAAGGCAGTATATTCAGGACGGTGGACCAATGGGAGGGGCATGTTTTCTAGTTCAACCTCTACTAGTCGCGGGAGGCTGCATAAAAGTAGTAACTCCATCGTATCACGTCCGAGCTCGTCCGTTGTCGTTTGATAAATATCAATCCGGAGGCGACGCAAGGTTTCTCTGGTTTGAGTGACGCACTGGACGATCGCGTTCATGCCCTCCGCGTTTGAAGTGCTCGCTTCGAGAGTGAGAACCGCGACACGGTTAGTGCACACATGCATGTATTCGTTTATCATCATTCGAGAATCCTGGAACTCTGGAATATGCATCTGCACGTTCAGGAGCGATTGCTTCGAGCGCTCCAGATTACTTGTGTACATGTCACTGAGGGCTCTCAGGCTGGCACTTCCATACCAGGGATGAATCGGCTTGAAATCTTCGTCTGCTAGGTATTTGGGGGTTGAAAATACCAAGCTCGACCATACGTTCGACATATCTATTACGATTGCACGCCAACGGCGGGAGATGCAGGATACAAGTCGTGGAAAAGTCCCGAGGCAGAAGCCCTCGCCCTCAATAACTTCATCGTCGCAGCCATGCTGAATGATAAGTTGTAGGATATCGTCTGACAGGCGGGATGCAGGGAGAGCGCATCGTTCCGTTTCTGGCTAACTTGTTGTAGTCGACGATGCAGGGCTGATTCAAGCTCGTGAACCTTCGATACCGCGACATCGTCCGATTGAGTGAAACGAGAAGGACCGAGACATTCTAGGATAGCACAGAGGCTTGTACAAAGACCAATAGCTTGAGATAGCAAAGCAGATCGCTGCTCGGGCTGCTGGCGTTCGGGCATGGCTTCAATCACCTTGTCTGCTGCCAGCAGGTATTCCTGGGACCTTGGTTCCAGGTCTTGAGAGACGAAATGGGGGATTTTCTGCATCCGTGTGGCTGTATCTTTCTCGTCTGACTACCGGATTAAAAGGTGGACCGTTTGCCCTTTAATAGTCGGTCTTATTCATATTCTGTGTCCTCTTCCGGCTCTTTTCCCTTCTAACCACCCTGTGTCTTGTCTGGTCCTTAATGGAAGGTATGTTAGTCACATTACAATACTTTATCTGTGCTGATCAAGTATTGTCTTGTCTTTTCATCTTGTTGTTTGTCTGTACATGTCTTGTTGTCTAGAAATCTGCATTGTGTCTCTGGTTGATGTCAGTGATGGCCTGCTTCTTCAAGAAAATGGCCATTGGATACTGTATGTGTCAGAACTAAGACTGTGGTATGACTGTCTGTCCTGTTTTGTGACTGTTGATTCTATGCATAATTCAGCATTCTTGCAAGATCCTTGTGATGTCATCCTTACCAGCTTGTCATTATTGTGTCTGGTTGATGTCTTTCCATACTTTATGCGGACTGAACTGTTCAGAATTCTGGATTTCAATGTTCACAGTGTTCTTGCTGCAAAACATTCATCCCGTCCTGATTTGGTCAAGTTATTTAAGTCCCTGTCCTGTTCTTGAAGCACTTGTACTGACCTTTGTCACATATTCCGTTTACGGTGGAGTAGGTGGCATGTTCATACATCTGGTTGTACTGAGTCTCAGTTAAATGCAGTTCCTCTGGTTGTACACATGTCTACTTCTGACAATATTCTAATCAACTGTCAGTTGCCAGTTTCTACTTCTACTCCTGTCTTTCCTTCAATCATGTCTTTGTCTGAAAAGCATTGGATTGTTGATACTGTCAGTTCTGTTCTGTCCCTGGATACCCAACAATGTTTTCCATGTGTGGCATGTGGTATATCATGTACTTTAGTGGGCTTGCTCAACATATCAGTTAATGCTGTCAATTTCTCCTTGTTAACTAATCCCGAGTTACTGGACAGGTTATTGCTGATGTCTTACAACATTGCTGCATATAGCAGGGCCCTTCTTCATCCTGATGGACTTTCTGATAAGACTGATCAATGTGGGAATATCTGGTTATGGTCAGCTTTACATGTTGGTAAAGTTCCCAAGTTTGCATTGTCTAACGGATACTATTTCAGTCATGATCATGTTCTGGACCAGGTGAAACAGGCATTTGGTTCTGCTTCTGTCTTTGATCTGATGCTGATTACTGGGGTGCAAGGTACAACTATTATGTTCAAGTACAGTGATAAACCATTAACAACTGATTATGGCAGTACACATGCCTTGTCACAGTCTTATACTAAAGGTAATGTAATGGTTTTGTCACAAGATTCATTAACTTTGAATGCTGTTTTACTGCTGCCTCCAGATGAAGTAGGTAAATCAGTTGTTGTCTTGTTTGCAAATGGATTGTCAAGAAATGACCATGCTATCAGGTATTTTTGGCCAGTATTGGTCACTCCTGGTATTGTCCATATTTTAATTACCTTTCTTTTAGATTGGAATCCGGCATATTCTTATACTGGGTATGGCTTTCCTGGTCCATTGTCAGGGCACCAGCTCATTGCTTGGTCAAGAGACATGACTAAGCCTTTATGACATGGA